GGTAAGTAAGGGGGCAGGGTTGTTGTGAAGGGTGGGGATTAAAGTCTCAAATTTCATAACACATCACTGTTGGTTTCCTCAATCCCAGAATCGGCATCAACTGGGGAAACCCGTTTTTTTAAATAAAATGTAAGGGTTTTTACGCCCATACCGACACACTTTAGATCATTTAGGAAACAGGCTTCCGACCCTGTCTGTCTTTACCAACTTGATCTAAGAGGGATACAACATTCTAGCAGAAAGTCTGAGAAAGACTGAGTTACTCGATAAAAATTCCTCCCCACTCCCCTCTCAGGATTTGAATTCAAGTCTCCTGCGTTCGACAGCGAAACATCTAACCGCTACACCACATAGACGCCAGTAGTGGGGGCCAACCTGTGAGACGCACTAATGTACATGTGGTGGTATCAATCAAGAAAAACGTAAGTTAATCTCTGTCACGTTTTTTGGAAGGGCAGGTGAAAGATTTCACACGATGGGCTAGCCGCTCTGAATCCTAGCCTCTTTACACCATACACTTTGATTTTCATATCAGTTAAAAGGAGTTTAAATTAACTCTTTAAGTTTTAAGGACGTAACGGACACACGTCCAGTCAGCAGACCAAATGCTGTACGGTATGTGGTATCGCTTTAATGACCCTATCAACACTATTAGGTTATTTAAGAGGCGGCACCTCCGAGTTTAACATCCATCTCCGAAAGGACTGAGCCAAATGGGAAATTCTTGTAAAGTGTCTTTCCCAAGGACACAGCGACGGACCGAGCTGAGGCTCGAACCCACGAACCTGCAATCTCACAATTACGAGTCCGGTAGCCTAACCACTAGGTCACCGACCCCACCCAAAGGCTGAGCTGTGGCACATTTTGAACTTTCATATTATACGAACCAGATACACACATTGCACATATCATAGTACATGTATATATACATGTTGGGGTTGCAGCCTGCCGTTCTAATTTTCAGATAAAGAAAATCGTTTTGGAAAATCGGTATGAACTAATGAAGTTAAACTTATTTCTTTTTTCAAAGTGCGTCTTGAAGCGTTTTTGGACGGCCAGGTTGCGCGTCCTCAAAGAGTTAACATCTCAGTACGTAGCTGAATACATGTACCTCTGAGCCAATGAATGGCTGGCTTTTTCTTGACCTCTTACAGTATAAGTTCAGGTGTGTCCCACGCCGTCTGTCAGTGTCACACCCCCGGCAACCCCCCCCCCCCCAACAAAAAGCAAACGCCCAGAACGACAAAAAGAAATAAAATAAATAAAGATAACGCAGACACTTCTGAATAATGAGAATCATATCTGATCTAAATATAGAATCATGGCTAAAACATATAAAAGCAAGGAAAGTAGAGTTTCTGTCAGTCAGTTAATTGCAACCAGCAGTCAAACCAGACCGAAACAATTCCAGAGATCTCCTCTATACGGTACTCTATAGCTGCAGTCAACAGGAAGCGAAACCAGAACAAGTAACATGGCGGTCTCCTCTCAAATCATGATCCCAGTTCTAGTGGTAATGCTTACCGCTGTAACCCTCTCTACCGCCTTCCCTAGTGGATACAACTTCAGCATACGTAAGTAAACTAATTAGGAGGTTAAATCTTTAAGTAATATTATTATAGAGGCGTTGGTAGTCCAGTGGTTAGGCTACCGGGTTTGTAATCGTGAGGTTGTGAGTTCGGGGGTTCGAGGGTCAGGCCTGACGTTGTGCCCTTGGGAAAGGCACTTTATACACATTTTCCTCACTTCAACCCTGTGTGAATGGGTACCCAGCTAGATGGTCAGAGTAAGAACGTATAGGTACCCAGCTATGTATAGCGAAAGATCTTGTCAGCATATTAGTGTTTTAGCGCCTGCAAAACAACTGATTACACTGTAAATGCTTCCCAGGAAACTGAGATTGTTTCAGAATGCTATCAGGTTTGCCGGGGTAATAATATGCATTGTTAAGCTCATATAATTTGCTGTTCAGTCGGAATTTGCGCAACACAAATGCTATTTAGTATTATAAATATGTGGAGAGAGAGAGAGAGAGAGAGAGAGAGAGAGAGAGAGAGAGAGAGATGGATAAACAGACAGGTAGAAATACTTTTCAAAAATGCTTCCCTTAAATTAGTTAACGACCCCCCCGCCTCGAATCAACACAATGGTCGAGGAACAAGCCGTGCGAGCAATACTATGGTGGTTATAACTAAAATCCTGTAGATTTAAAACCTCCATTTTCTCTTGCGGTCATTTTTTATAATTATTATCATTATCATTATTGTTATTATCAATATTATCATCATCATCAATAACAATATATTTGTAAAACGGCCACGACTGCTGTATTTAACTGCTAGACTTGACGGATTTGTATAGTCAATATCAGTAACTGGTCTGAAAGACAGTCGTGGACAGACATACTATATTATATAAGCAAACAATGAAAGTCAAATAAGCATTTGTGTTATATTTCTCTTTTCAGAAATAAATAGCAGCGCAGGAAATTCAAGCTCTCAAACCTTGCAAAGTGGGATCTTTTTGTCCGGAAACTTCTCTTCAGGAAATGCCACAAGTGAGAACTGGTCTAGATCTAGATCCTTTGTCGGAAACGTTACAAATGGAAATTTTTCTTTTGGAAACTTCTCTGGAAATAATATTAGAAGCGGGAATCGGTCTAGAGCCTTTGCTGGAAATATTACAGTTGGAAACTTTTCTTCTGAAAACTTCTCTTTTGGAAATGCCACAAGCGGAAACAGGTCTAGAGCTTTTGAAGGAAACATGACTAGTGGAAATTTCTCGTCTAAGAACTTGACTACTGGAAATGCCACTATTGGAAACTGGTCCAGAGCTTATACAGGAAACACTACAAGTGGAAACTTCTCTTCAGGAAACGCCACTAACGGGAACTGGTCTAGAGCCTTTGCTGGAAACGCCACTGGTGGAAATTTCTCTTCTGGAAACTTTTCATCTGGAAACGTCTCTTCTGGAAATGTCACAAAGGGAAACTGGTCTACATCTTTTGAGGGATACGCGGCTAGTGGAAATTTCTCGCTCAGAAACTTGACTGCTGGTAATGCCACAAACGGAAATTGGTCCAGAGTGTTTGCTGGAAACACCACTGGTGGAAACTTCTCTTCTGGAAACTTCTCCTCTGGAAATGCCACAAGCGGAAACGGGTCCAGAGCTTTTGACGGAAATAATACAAGTGGAAACTTTTCCTTTGGAAATGCCACAAACGAGCACTGGTCTAGGACCTTTGTGGGAAACGTCTCCTCTGGAAATGTCTCTTCTGGAAACTTCTCCGGAAACGTCTTTTCTGGAAACTTCTCCGGAAATGTTTCTTCTGGAAACCTTTCTGGAAACGTCTCTTCTGGAAACATCTCTTCTAGAAACGTCTCGTCTGGAAATGTATCTTCTGGAAACATTTCTTCCGGAAACATCTCTTCTGGAAACGTCTCTTCTGGAAACGCCTCTGGAAACGTCTCGTCTGGAAACGTCTCGTCTGGAAACGTCTCGTCTGGAAATGTATCTTCTGGAAATATCTCTTCCGGAAACTTCTCTTCTGGAAACGTCTCTTCTGGAAACGTCTCTGGAAACTTCTCTTCTGGAAACGTCTTTTCTGTAAAAGTCTCTGGAAACGTCTCTTCTGGAAACGTCTCTTTTGGAAACTTCTCCGGAAACGTCTCTTCTGGAAACATCTCTTCTAGAAACGTCTCGTCTGGAAATGTATCTTCTGGAAACATCTCTTCCGGAAACTTCTCTTCCGGAAACGTCTCTTCTGGAAGCTTCTCTTCTGGTAACTTCTCTGGAAACGTCTCCTCCGGAAATTTTTCTTCTGGAAATGCGACAAGTGGAAACTTCTATTCTGGAAACTTGTCTTCAGGGAACTTCTCTTCTGTTGTCAACTCGACCGTAATGCAAGTTCCAACAGGAAATGTCACCAGTGGTAATTATTCAGCTCTTCCATCTGGGAACTACACGAACTGCAACCAGTCTCTGAACGGTGGATTCATAATACTGGGGTGAATGCTTCACTCGAAAACCGACGAACAACAATTAAAATTTATTTTTGAATTTTACTGGAAGTACTGGAAGTAATACTATGTGTCTAAAAGTAGCTACCGTGTCTTGTCTGACTGTCTGTTTGTCTGTCTGCCTGTCTGTGTCACCGTTTGTATGTGTGTGAAAAGGAAGTTAATAGTAAATAGTTCCATGGAACCAAAGCGGCTTTTCGCGACATAGACACCACGAAACATAATTTACTTTGCGTGTGAGTGACAGCAAAGAGATTTGGTCAACGGCACATACATAAGATATAGAAGGCCCTTATCACAGCTGCGTTCATCTGCGTAGTTATGGGACAGTTAAAAAACAAAAACAAAACAAAAACAACACACAGACACACACACACACACACACACACACACACACACACACAATGTATTGCTCAAGGATAGCGACACATTTTGCCAAGGAAATACAGTCTGTATAGAAAATGTAAGCTTAGAGCTTTCAGTCAGAAAGAAACGACGCACAGCACAACCCTATTTCAAAACCAAACAACCCCCCCCCCCAAAAAAAGGAACTTCAAGGAAACACACGATTGGCGGGTGCTCTGGTGTGGTTTGCTCCTTTCTTATCAAATATCTATCATCCTTATCTTCCCTTTTTCTTTTTTTATGTTTGTTACTCTCTTGTAACACCTCTAATCTTCTGGCGCTCATATGACCTTATGCAGTTGCGAGCGCCGTAAAACCTCTACTAAAACTAAAAAAAAACCAACTAAGTATAAAATTCAACTGTAACTGTTTATAAAAACATAGTAATCGTACTTTTGTACGTTTCTGCCCATGGATGGTACAATGTGCATGCACTAACGATGGCGGTATAGTTCCAGGCATATTGGAAATCGTGGAACAGAAGACGTGTTGATATATTTTTAAAAATTCAGTATTGTAGGGTCCTGAAAACAAACAGTAACACCAATTTCGCCTGCTTTTTTAGGTGGCAAGCATGTCACGCTAGGTTTTGGTGCGCAGCAATTGGATGCTGTGAATCCTGTGCGACGAACTTTGGCCACATTCGTTCTATGTTCTATCGAGGGTTTCGAGATCCTTCAATCAAACGCCATTGCGCTTTTGAGATGGACTCTTATCTGTCTGTTGTAGAGTGTAGAGCACTGAAAGGAAACTAGGTAGAAAACTCACCTTGTGGGTGGTTTGAGGGCGCCACTTGCAGGTCTTACTTCTTTTCTCTGTTGTTTCTGTCTGTCAGTCCTGCATTTCTTCTACATTGACTGACCATCGTCATTCACTTTATATTTGTTTCTCCGAAATTGAAAAAAAAAGTGATTTTACTCCTCTTGTGAGCCAGGTCTTCTCCAAAGCCCACGCCACAGATAGGTGACCCAATTCATAGGTAGGGGCCAAGGTCAACAAAAGTCATAGGGCTATTATGGCTTCCAGCTCTTGTGTGAAGATCTCAAATTAACACTGTAGGCTTACTGGTAGGTAACTCATCTCTATCAAATACTTTAGCTACACCATGACCAACATTGTGCAACAATTATTATGAAAAAAAGACGCGGAAATTTTCTCACGAGACACAAGAAGCACAAAACCTTTCTATAGACTACTCACACAAAAACATAATCTATTTTCCCGCATATAAGCCTTTTATAGTACACATCTCCACCCCTTCTTTCATCTCTCTTTCTTTCTTTTCCATCCTCTCCTTTTTCTGTCTCGGAAACATGTCTTTTAGTTTCACAAGCAACACTATCGTAATAACATATGCACGTTTAGCGCCACCCGAGTTTATGGTGTGTTCGTGGCTTAGAATCTAACGATAACGTCCCAAATGCGAACGACAGAAAGGCCCCTGTATGTGCGTGGGAGGTGCCTTGACAAACGAGAATACGGTAAAATTAAGGTCAGGGTCACAATGAGCTGTGGGAGACAAACATCAGTGACTATAAGATAAACTATAGTGCTACAAGTGAAACTTTTGGCGAAGAATAATCAAAGTTATGACTATTAGAAATAAAGCAAACAGTCCCGGTTATCTACCTCAATGCCTACTAGCTGAAATAATATATCCAACTCTCCTATTACGTTTATTACTCAACATCAACTCTTTAAACTCTTGTTGTGATTTTTAGAAGAGCACATGTATGTTGAAAAATTGAAATATACCTGTCTATGTCTTTTTAAGAAAACTACAGACCCTGAGTCTGAGGATCACACAGCAAGTATTTTTCCTCCCCCCCCTCTCTCTCTCTCTCTATCTCTCTCTCTCTCTCTCTCTCTCTCTCTCTCTCTCTCTCTCTCACTCACTTTTTCTCGGTCTCTCTCTCTACTTGCCTCCTCTCGGTCTCTCTCTCTACTTGCCTCCTCCCCCGCCCCCAATCGATTTTGTCTTCAGTCAGTCAGTCTGTCTGTCTGTCTGTCTGTCTGTCTGTCTGTCTGTCGGTCTGTCTGTCTGTCTGTCTGTCTGTCTGTCTGTCTGTCTGTCTGTCTGTCTGTCTGTCTGTCTGTCTCTCTCTATCTCTCTCTCTCTCTCTCCCTCCCCCCTATATCTCTTTCTTTCGCTCTTTCTCTCTCTATCTACGCCCCCTACAGTGTGTTATGCTATTTATTATTATGTCATTCTTCTAGAAACATAGAAGAATGTCCAGGCCTCAAAATTAATGGAGAAAATATTAATAACATCAGATATGCAGATGACACGGTTTTAATACATGTAGCAAGCTCCGAAAAGGACCTTCAAATGCTTCTAGATACTGTTGTAAAAGAAAGTGAACGTAAAGGATTATTGTTGAATGTAAAGAAAACAGAATGCATGGTAATATAAAAAAAAGCAGCAAATCCTAGTTGTAATCTCATTAGCAAAGGTGAAAAGATCAAACAAGTCCAACAGTTTAAATATCTAGGATATATGATAACATCTGATGCCAAATCTTCCGCAGAAATAAAAAAGGAGAACTGCAATGGCTAAGGCTAGTTTCAATAAAATGAGCCCAATCCTGAAAAATAAAAACATCAATGAACACCAAAATGAAAGTCCTAAAATGTTATGTTTGGTCAACCCTTCTATATGGCTGTGAATGCTGGACAATCACTAAAGGCAGTGAAAATAAAATAGAGGCAACAGAAATGTGGTTTCTTAGAAGACTGCTAAGAGTATCGTGGAAGGAAAAGAAATCAAATGAGGTAGGTAGTGCTCACAGAATTCTGTGGTAGTGCTTGATGAAGCCCACGTGGGACGCTCAATGTTAAAAACAATCAGGAAACGACAAATGCAGTTTTTGGGACACCTGAACAGACATAAGGGTCTTGCACATCTAGCTCTCACTGGCAAAATTGAGGGCAAGCGAGGCAGGGGTAGGCCCAGAACAACATACTTAGGGAACATAAACAAATGGGTAACAGGGAAAGATCAGGGAAACGTAGCTTTTCTGGGAGCATCCGAGCATAGGAATGAATGGAAAATCATGATCGCCAATGTCTGTCGCAGATCTGGCACTGGATGAAGATGATGATGCTACTCGCTGCTCTGTTATCAACACACACACACACACACACACACACACACACACACACACACACACACACACACACACACACACACACACACACAATGGAAGCCACCCATTCTTTTATTCATTAACAAAAAAGGTTTATATATCTAGATCTAGTTTTGTTTCAGGAGTATGTTGAAGAAGTAAAATAAAAATATCTGGGGCAAAAGCGAAAAGAAACAATACCCCCCGCAACAAAATCAAACAAAAATGCAGGTTAACGTTAATTTTTTTAGAAATGAAATTAGGCGAAGGCACTTAATTATTACTTATACTCTTATATAGTTATCGCCTGTAGTTATAGATCTAGATCTATCAAAATATCTTTTGAGCATCTTTTCCCTGTTTTGCCAGTATACAAAATTTGCCAGTGTTTGGAAACTTATTTGTTTTGTTTAATTAAACTACGTAGATCTATATCACTATCACTCTTGTAGTTCTCCCTCTTTGGTTCATTCTTTGTTCATGTTGTCAAGAGCGGGGAGGGGAGTTTGGGAGAGTGCAAATGTGGTCATGGTAACAGCTAACAATAATTCTTAGTTATCACCCCTAGTACACCTTATGCCTTTAACAATAAAAAAATGCGACCAATTTGCTTTTCAGACAATGCTTATGAGAGAAAATATACATCTAATTTGGATTTCATATACCAACAGAATATACACCCTTACAAATCAAAGTATAATTTGACGATTAGTCAATAAATAAAGCTAACCGGAAGAATGACTAATGCCCCATAGCCACTAAAGAAAAACTTGTGGAGAAGAAAATGGCGGATTGGAAAGGAACGTACCGTTTCTCTAACAACACTGTGGAAGAATCCTCCAAGAATCAGTCATTGGTTACTGAAAAATTGCAGAAGAGAGAGGATGAACGTCAAGAAAAGCTGCGTAAGAAACAAGCAGAAGACGATTCATTCAAAGTTCAAGAAAGTCTTCAAATTTTTCTTGATACTTTCAATTCTGAACGTACAAAACTAGAAAATGGACTGAGTGACAGCGTCGCAGTTGATAGGGTGCATTTAACTGAACATTTTGACCAGTTGTCTCACCATGTTACTAAACTGCAACGCTATGTCTCAGAGTCTGCTATGTTCCTACCACCCTATGAGCTGAAGACAGCTCAAAATGTTTTGATGTCTCTTCAGGGTAAAATTCAGGAGAAACGGGATGAAATGCTTCCCAAAAAGAAATTTGCCTTCAAGTCAAACAGAAAAACGGAGAAAAAAGCTGCAGTCCCTTGTGCTGTAAGAAGTGAAGAAACAATAAAAGATTCAAAGTCTGAGGATGATTTAGTTATTGAACATGCTGCTTGTAAGTTTATTGGTGCTTTCAATGAAACTTTGAGAAAAGAGGCTGATGAAATCAACAAGAAGGATGTTGCCCTTGCCGGATTGACTGAATGCACAGTTTTATTATGTGGTGCTCCCTCCGCCATTCACATAAACAAGTTGAAGAACTGCAAAATATTCTGTGGGCCTGTTCCTGGATCCATCTTCATTCGAGAATGTTCAAACTGTACTTTCGTGCTGGCTTGTCAACAGCTTCGGATACACTCTACAACTGAGTCGCATTTTTATATTCATGTCACAAGCAAAGCTATTATTGAAGACTGTAACACAGTGAAATTTGCTCCTTACAACTGGAGTTATGAACAGTTAGATAAACACTACCAAGCGACTGGACTTTCAAAAGTCCGTAATAACTGGGATAAAGTAGATGACTTCAACTGGTTAGCTGCTGATGCTCACTCACCCAACTGGTCGATTCTTGAGGAGGAGAAGCGAATCTCTTCATGGAATGTATAGCTATTTGTTATATCGTTATGTTGTGTGAATGAATGCAGAATTGATTGTGACTTCTATCTGTAAAATACTTGTTTGATGATCAACACAAGCATGTGATAAAATATTTATAATTTGACTTTCAGCTTGGAAGGAATTTTGTACTGTGCCACACACACAATTTCCGATAAAAAATTGTTGGACCAAGTTTTGCTTTTGGTACAAGACTTATACGTCTAGTTAGTTTTAAGAATGAAATCCATGTTACATTAGAGTTGTGGGAAGGATCAAATGGAAGAATGGCTACCAATTGCTAATTGTTATTTTTTTATTTGGGAAAGGAATACTGAGGTGACGTTCATAATGCTAAATAATGTTAGGCTATGATTGTGAATCAGGTTTATTTTTGGTAATAGTAATAGTTTGGGAAGGACTTCCGTAACGAGCGGACCCCCCCCCCCAAAAAAAAAAGCAAAAATAGAAGAGACCTATCCCTAACCTTGACCCAACCCCTAACCCTACCCCTACCCTTACCCCTACCTCTACCCCTACCTCTACCTCTACCTCTACCTCTACCTCTACCTCTACCCCTCCATCAAAGCCTAACCCCAACCCTCTATTCTACTATGTATATTTGGTCGCTCGTTACGAAATTTCTCCCATAGTTTGAAATGCCGTTTATTTGTCGGAGCAGGATTGTTCTTACTTTTATGGCGGACAGTTGTGGAACATTTTCCTTCAGTTGCTTCTATATCATCTTAAAGACCTTTACTTTGAATTAATAGAAACATGAGTGTTTATAGTTTCTTAGTGTGGTGTAGGTTGAAACCCCTTCCCGTGTCTTCATTTATATTCAGATACAGAAACCTTTGTAATCCCATTTGATTTTCACAGGAAGTATCAAGCCAAGTTTTTTTTTACATTTGACCTAATAGAGATTTAATTTCCCATTGGCAATTGTCATATCTTGCATCATGTATGTAAGTTTTTTGTCAAAAGCCTTCTACCATCAAATGTGTCACAGAGTGGTGGAATCAGGCGCCCGTCAATTTTTTAGCGTATATCATATCCGACACGACTAATCGAGTCATTGCCATTAGATAAATCAAAGTGTATGTGCTTTTTTCTTGAACTTATAGTTGAAAAAAAATAATTGATTTTTAAAACTAGTACAGTGGAGTCCACTTATAACGAGTCCGGAAAAAACGAGAAGTCTGTTATAAAGACAATATTCTAAAACCCCGTTTTTTTCTCCTCTTTACCTTTGTAAATGAAATACTGCTATAGCGCTATCAGACAAACAAGAGAGTCGGTTATAGCGGAATATTCCTGCTGCTGTGCACAGTGCATAGACCAGTTATACATAATGTAAAACCGCACCAGTTGAGAAACTTGTTGGTGACTTAGCGAAACAAAGAATGGGAGAGCCCATGTGCGTCAACAATGAAGGCCGGAGCGACTGAGTAGGGAGGGTGTGGCATGCGCAGACAAGCAGAACGCATCGCGTGATAGGCCAGTGTAAGCCTAGTTTAGATTTAGATTATCAAGGCCTACCATGCCTCTCACTTCTCCGATGCAGGGATGGAGAGGTCACAGCAATGTGATGGATGGAGCATGTGTGACGTACGCAAGCAGACAGAATGCACCTCAGGGTGAGGTGGGGTGGGGGAAAACACAGCGGGTGAGTTAGCCCAGAACCCTTTTTTCTGATCGGCAACACCGAGCTGTCAGTCGACATCACTAGATCTAGCGCTAGAGAAAGAAACCTGATTCGATTTTTGACCAATTAAGACCTAGAGGTCATGTTGAAACAAAATCCATATCAGGGGAGATAGCAAAAGGAAATAAACAGAACACCAAACTCATAGATTAAGTCTACTTTACAGTTCCCTTGAATTTATTACTGGGTCCCTTATAGCGAAAATCCTGCTATAACGGACATTTTGCTCCGGTCCCCTCCCTCTCGTTATAACAGGATTCCACTGTAGTCGAGATGTGCGATTTAAGAAAGAGGGGTTACCGTTACATGTGAAATTAGGGAGAAAAAGTTATTTGACATTTAAAGCTGAATGTTCATCGGTCGTTCTACAAAATAACATATATAATTTTTTAGCTTTAAATAACATTTTTCTGTTAAAACCACCTTGAAATGGGTTCTTTAAAAGATGGAGCAGGTTTCTGTGTAAAAACTGTTTAGAAAAATTCTCAGCAGTCGGAAAAATACCGGTACTGATTGGTCTGTTTCCTAAAATTTGACAGGAACCAGGTTCCACCGCAATGACAACCCCTCCCACCCCCAATAGAGCCAAATTTCTGACCTCATTTCATGTATGCCATATATGAGGCATCGTGGTGAAATAAGGTGCTCCTCAAAATAAGGAAATCCAGTTGGGCAATTTTTTTTTTTTTGGCTCAACGTCTTTTTTGTCCGTTTAACAACCCATTCCATGTGAATTTTCCTAAAAATGCTGATTAAAATTAAAGGCACAAAATATGTAAATTTTCAGTTTTCAAGGCCTCTCAAGCTATTGAAGTTACTAAAAGTTGGTGGCCATTTTCTCATTCTTTTTACCTCTGAAACCATGTGACCCCATCTTCTTCAATCATTCAGAAATATCTGGAGTTCTTTTAAAAATAGATGGGTATTTTGTTTCAACAAAAGCAAGGCGAATTAATGAACAAGCTCAGGTGATACCAATAACTCCTCATGCTACAGGGTACAAAAAATAAAACAAAAAAAGCCAAACTCCTCATGCTAAAAAACTGAAGAGCGCATGATTCTACCCTGTTGTGACAAATATTGACTGCTCAGTGTAAGACTCCATTATGTTACTTTTTGAAATTTCGTATGGCAGAGTTTTACACTATTCAGTGGATTATGCCTGAGTGATTTTTAATTGAGAGAGATTTTGAAGCGAAATTGGCTTAATTTTTCAATAATTTAATGAACAGTCTAAATCTTTGTATGATGTATTTCTGGTCGAGGGATGGAATTTCAGCTAAAATGTTTTCTTTGGCTTTGTATTTTATTAAATTTATTCCTGGATACAATGTAAATTTAATATTAAATGTTCTCAACTTCGTGGTAATGTGCCCGTAATTTTTACCATCTTTTTACCGTTGCCACAACACCTCCTCTGTAGTGACAGATCATTTTCAAGCTCTGGAGATCTTTGCTTATGTTCCCCTCTCACTCTCATGGCAAGGGTGAACCTGTGTTTTTCTAATAAGAGCCCCCGATCCTCTGAGCACCCAGGACAGGCAATTGTCTGTTTAAAAGTTCAAATGTTTGATCTTCAAAGTACCAGTATAGCTGTTTGTGCAATCTTTTGACTCTCCTGGCCTGTGAGTAAAGTTGTTGCTCTTATGATGTCACTCGTTGGTTTTGGAGCATTTTGTGAAAGTGAAAGATCGCTGGCATGTATGCCGGCCCCACCGGTTTTTTAACCTCAACACTACAGACCTAGGTCTGCCGCTGGTTTAGACTCAGGTCGGCAGGTACGTGTGTAAAAACTGGCGACTACGCAACATGCACAACGATGGTGTTTTGAAAATTCCCACCTTACCTCTTCAGGTTTTAAAAAAAATGTCTTTTAACTTTCACCCATGCTTTGGAGTGGAGAGACAGAGACAGTGAGAAGCTCTTTCTTTTACTTTCAGTTTCAGTTTCAGTTTCAGTGATTGTCCAGAATGTGTAATGTATTACATGTACGTTTTTTGGCAGAACTTGCTCTCTCTGGTATAGTGAATTGGGTGGATTGCTGATCAGCTGGTTTTTTGAATGCACATTGCTGACTGTCCTAGAGACTACTTTTTTATATCAACATTTGAGACAGGACGATTTATTGGGTTATATCTTACTTCTTTGGGTCCTGCAAGGAGAAAGACTATCGTGGGTGTTTAAAATGAATGCTGGTGTCAGCGTCAAAGTAAGGTACTCGACACTGTGACCACTGCTATTTTCTTCTTAATTGTTTCATTTGCATTTTTATATCAATCGTCGTCCCCGGTTTGTTTGGAAGAAGTCGGCATGTTTGACATGGCCATGAAGTTAAAAAAAATACTTGGATTAAAAAGCCCTAAGTACTAAGCCATCTGATAGGTGAGATTGTTTTTCTCAGATTATTAACTTTGTTTATAATAGCATGATTTTCTGTCTCGCGGCAAATAAATGTTTCTCCATTTTTCATGTAATGCCCAAGAAGGTATTCTCTCTCTTTAATTTTGTCAAGATATATTTGAATCTTGAGAAAAGTATAGAAAGTATGGATCAATATGTACGTGATATATAGAGGGACCCTTCAGAAATGTTTTCATAGAAGGGCCCTTCAGGGTCTGTGGCTGCCCTCTACTAACCAGTACTTCTTTTTTGCTACTGTACCACTGGAAAGCAGCAAGGATGATCTCAAAGCCAAAGGTGTACTGAGAGGCTTGAAGAGCCATTGTCATTAACTTTACCCTTAAGAGGTTTTGTGAAATATTGTCTTAGACATTCATCCACTGTCGAGAAGAATACTGAAAAGTGATTGCCTTAAACAGGTGCACGTCTCGCATTATGTCATTTATAATAATTTTTTTTCATGCAAGGAGGGAAGTAGGAAGTGATTGTTTGTGCAGGAAATTCTCTTTTGGACAGGTGGCTATGAAAACAGGTTAGACTGAATTTATTAAAGCTTCTGATTGTCTATGGTGCTTGGTTTGTGCCTTTTGTTGTTACTTTAGGATGGAAGAGGACTGGTTGTCGTATATATTTTTTCTTTAAGTTTTCTCCACCTTGGCTGTAATTATGGGCCATAAATGAATATAATTATAATGAATTTAGTCTTTGTTATTACGGTATTTATCATCATTGCTGTCACTGTTGAGTTGAAGGAAGCATTTTCCTTTCTTAAAACAACTTATACTTATAATAGATCACCTGATGTAATTTTTTCCCCCTTGTCTTCAAGATCTTGAAAGCAGCTTATGATTGTCAGTATGCTTGAAAAAGTTTTTTTCTCCCAATGCAGAGGGATAATCATTAGCCACTTGTGGTGAAAGTGCTTGTAAAAATATAACATTTCTGATGAGAGAATTTGTTTTTTCCTCAAGAAGGTAAATACTACAGGCCTTGAAAAGAGTGACTTAGATATATTTTATATTAGATTCTACCTATTATCAGCATTTGATTAGAGCAGTGTATGCTTCTTTTTCATTTTCATTTCAGAATCAAAGAAAATGAGATTTAGCCAGTGTGTCTTTGAGTTAAGTTTAGAAAATGTCTAATTTAATGTTGCCAATGGAAGAGAGATGAGAAGCATGCGTAATAAATTTTGTAAATGGAAAGCAATTTCTATTCAGTTATTTTCAAAATTGTTTTTGCTTTTGGAAGAATCATCAAATCATAAAGACTTTTGGATCTAATTTGCATTTTCAGAATTATGAATATTCTTGAAAGTGACTTCATGACTAATGTTATGTGACAATGTCCCAAATATAGACTTTACATGTATCATATAATCAGGATTTTTAAGCCATTTAGTAGGCGTACATCATGTATGGTAGTGCATAGGAAGGGGTTTTCAAACAAAATTAGACAGTTCACGCAGCTTGAAAATGAAGCATCTGATTTATTAATTAATCTTTCACTTATTGCTTAAAGTAGTCTCCCTATGTAGTTACACACTTTTGTAATGATGTACCCATGATCTATGAAAAGCCATTCGATAGATAGTCATTTTTGGGAATACCGTTTAGATACTGATGTATCGCTGAAACAAAGGCTTTTGTCATGGAATACTAGGGTCTTGCAAGTTGTTTCTTTAGCTTTGGAAACATAAGAGGTCTTCTGTACTGTTGCTCTAGTGTTTTTGTCACTCTATTACTCTATGGCTTTTTCTGAGCACTAAATGACCCGTATCCTGATGTGCCTTTCTTGTATGAAACAAACTTTTTCAAATTAATTGGCACATCAAAGCAACCCACTTTCTGATAGATTTAGATTGTGTGGATGGGGGCAAATATAGTTACAAAACTACATCCTTTTCTTTTCTCTTTTAGATATATATGTTCATACTGTGTGGAACAAAGTAGGCCCCTATAATATGCAGAGAAATTAATTTTACTTTTTGAAATTAATCAGTTGACTAAAACCGAAGCTTTCTTCAATTAAACTTTAATCATGTTTAGTTGCTTCCTCAAATTACAGAGTTCCATCTGATATTTTTGGCCGTTTTGAGTTACTAAGACCTTGAGGTCATAAACCAATTGTCCTGTTTTGTCTATCAAATTCGCAAGGTTATTTGGATTCGTTATCAAGGTATTCAAAGAATTGCTTTTGAAAAAGCTTAACATGATGTGAAGCTCAAAATCTTTGACGTCAAATTTCTCAAAACTAGGTACTGTGCAGACAGACTGAATAATACTGAGGTTGTGGTGTTGTGTGGCCAGATGATGAATGCATGATCATTCATAGCCTCTTGTAATGTTGTTGACCTTCCTTTACTTGATCATTCTGGTCTCTGTGGGTTAGTGTCGGGCGCTTTGCCTTTGCAGGTAAATGTGAGTTTGGTTCATTTGTGCGGAAGAGTTTTACAGAGTAGACTTGGCCCTTGATACTCAGGGTCGAAGCAGTCTGCCTCTTAAATGATCCAGATTGTGTCGACTGGGACGTAAAGGATTTATCTTGTACGTTGACCTGATCTCATGGGGCTGGAGGGACACATGCAGTGGGATAGTCACTTTATGGCCATATTGACAGAGTTTCTGTGACAGACGAAGTTGTGAAGCAAACGACAAATTATGCTAAAAGGATGTTGCAATCTGTTTGTTTCTTTTTTTTTTTCCATTGATTCAAATGGTTCAAAGATCTTTGGATACTGCATATCAAGAGCTGACAGCAGTGTGAGTTTTTGTTCGTGTGTATGCGTACTATCTTTTCCCCTTTTACTTCTGTCTATGTTTCTTTAACGCAGCAGTAAATGACTATTATTGTGTCTATGTGCTTATCTTTGCTGGAACTCGTACATCAAGATTCAGACTGCAGTTAAAGTGTTAAAAAAGTTGATGAGTCAAGAGTTTGGTAGAGTTTCAGAAGTATAAAAGCTAGAAATTTGCACTTGCTATTGCCACGTCTGCCACCAATATCAACCAACCATAGCATTCTTTTATTTTTTTTTTCGTCTGATTAATTGAAATATTACATTGTTTAAATTTTCCTCTTAGAGTTTGAATTGATTTATTATATTATATGGAATAATGTATTTTGAAAGTGTGACAGCTGCATATTTTGAAAAAGTACACCATCTCAGCTTTAGAGTAACCTACATGTGTATTATATATTTCTGAACAGATTGTATGAAAAGTAAAAGAAGGAGGCTTAACTCGACAATGACCCCTGCAACAAAACTGCAATTTGAAGTAAAATTATATTACTTGCAAAAATTGTCCAAAGGCAAAAATAAAAAGGCACATCTTATATATTGACAATGTCTGCAATTTTCATCCTTCATTAGATTTGCCTTCTTGCGGTTGATTGAAACGGTTGTCTTTTCTTTTCCCTACAGTTGTTTGACATCCAATTTTTGTATCTGAACATGAATAAACATGATCTTGCAAGCGAGCTTGTGTAGCCTACTGAATGTTTATTTCATCCTCTTTTTATTGTGTATTGTGCTGTGTTGTTTGGCTGGATAGATATTTTATAATGTGAAACTTTTAGGGAGTCTGTGATGTAATGATCAGGCTCTTCGCCCTTGAATGTTGAAGTCATGACTTCGATTCCTATGAGGCTTTACCGATATTTTCTCATCTTCTTTCTGATGGGATGCTGTGTCGTGTCCCGATCAGCCTGGGTTGACCCTTGCAGTCAGGATCGAAGCAGCCCACCTCCTAAATGATCTAAATGTGTTGATAGTGATGAAAAACAATTTACTTACAAGTTACAATCTATAGATCACACTGTGTTCAGCTCATTATGTTATGATCTGGCTTTTACTTTTAAGCTGAATTGGTCTCAATTGAAGTAAAAGTCTTGGTAGCTGTCTGTGCTTTTACTAACAACTATTCTCTTGAATGACTTGAGCAAACCTTGCCTGAAGTAGTTAAGTCTGGTCCATTTGTAAATGAATTATATAGAGACATCATTATGTCAGTCTCTGGTGAAAGGGGGGCTCTTGTGGTCTACAGATTTAAAACAGTGTTCGCCTCTCGACTCTCATTCAACAGATCCTGTGTTCTTTTGAAATGCAATAATGAGCACAATACTTACTAGATTTCGAACTTAAAAAATTTATTTGCCGTTTGGCTACCCCAACTTGTCCCCATCATCCTGGCTTATTATAATAATTATATGGGAGAAAAACAATCTGATCGTGAAAGTCCACATCACAACGTCACATGCAGCTGTCCGACTCACACTCTGTGCACTCGGCACTGAGCACCTTGTAGTCGCTCAGTGCCACTTGTGACTTTTCCCTAAGAAAAACATTAGTTGTGCGAAAGCCAGGAATACGGCAAATGTTAGGTTGACAATATGTTACAAAATTCCTACGCTTTGGCATTGCTGGTGTTAGCAGTGGGAGAATTCCCCCCCCCCCCCAAATAAAAAAAAAAATGGAATGAAACGATTCAGCAGAGGCTTGTAGGATCAAAGTCAAAGGTTAACGGTGTATTCTGTAGTAGGCCCCTACCGTTCTGTAGTTCCGCGAATTTCTTTTTGTTTTTGCAAGCAATTTTAGCAATAGCTTCTCCTCTCCCCCACCCCCTGCTTTTTTTTTTCATGAACTCTACAACGGTGGGCCCACCGAGACCTCCTCTTACATCACATCTTAATAGGTTTGCGTTATTTACCTTGCCTTTATCTTCGAACCTACAATCCCTGTACATGGCACCCCAGGGGAAAAGACTATCAATGGCCATATTACGGATTTTTAAGCCAGATTAGAAATCTACTGCTTTTTTATATTTGTTGATTTCTAAAACACCAGTGTCTGACATTGACATAGTGAGTGGTAAGGCTGTCATATACAGGAGACCAGAGTTCAATTCCCAAGTGAGGAGAATTTTTATCGAGCTTCTCAGTTTTCTTGCTGGGATGTTGTATTAGCGCGGGTTGGCCCTGAAAGTGACAGGCAAGGACGGAAGCGCACCGTCTAGATGATCTAAAGTATATTGATGGAGGCTTAAAACACATTACATTAAATTAAAAAAGAAAAGAAAACAAAGACTGCAAAAAAGTATTAACAATATATTGACGATTTATTAATAACACTGAGTATCAAATAACAAAATAGTCTAGTGCAGTATTTTTTTATGCATGGAAAGCATGGGAAACTGGCTGAAATATACAAGAGACAAAGGAGAATCACATGAAATTATTCGCAACAAAAACATGCAGCACATAAACAAAAACCAGTCACATTGTATGGAATTTAAAAATGATGTAACAGGAAGTAACCCTTCTCTATGTTCATCAATTAAAAAAAAATAATACCATCTCCGTATGCTTCTTCTATTATTAGGCTAGTAGTAATAGGTTATTATATCAAATAACAGTTGTAACCTAGAATTACATGAAATTTTACAAATTTGTTACACTAGATTGGGATGTTATCTATACGCCAGTTATAACTAATAAATGTTATTGTACAGTACTAGAAACTTAAATATGCTGTAGGTACAAAATTTACGGGAGACAAAAACTGAAAAATAAAAAGGTGGTTACATGTCAGGACAAACTTTTTCGTAAACACACGTTTAAAGCTAGGTAACTTCTTAGAGCTAAACAGTTGCTCCACTACAGTGTGCTTGTGTGCAAGACGACAGCCAAAATAACTCCTCACTATCTTGTTATCACATGATTCAGGAAGTAATCCTACTAAAAAAGAATAATATTTCAACAAAATATAAAACTAAGAAGTATTTTGAAGAAATTGTGCTTCTAGTGCAATGCAACCAACTCAAAATTACCACAAAAGAACTGCATTTTCTCAGCAGAGCTTCAGTGAAAACGTAAACAGGTCTATCTATACCCACAGTAGTCTGATAGAGGGCAAATCTATCGAGCTCAATATTTAATGGAATAAATACGATGAGACATATTTGGCAAATCTTGTATGATCAACACTGCTGCTCCCCATTCAACTGCAGTCAAAAAGAGGAAAGAGTAAACAGAATCTACAATTACAATCTACAATGCCAGTTCAAATTTAAAGAATTTAAAAAATTGCAATGTTTAACACTTACAGTACCGTACCGTCGGCGACTTTAGTCGCTAGGCCTTAGTACATATGTAAGCGCTCATGACTGCTGGTGACTTTAGTTGCTGACGCAACCAGGTACACTAAACATAATTAAACAAAGAATAGACGCACTGAACTGAAGTAAATACCAAAGGCAGTCACCCTATATGATAACTGAATGGTTGATGAACCTCTTAGAATTTTTAAACCGTGTTTCTGGGGCTGCCAATGTTTTTTTAATTTAAAAAAATATAAATCAGCTTCAGCATTCTAAACGGATGTGGTACTTGAGGGCTTTTCACTATATGAACCTTCAGCACTGTAAGTGTTAAAGGACTCAAAGTAAACGTAAGCGAAACTTGACAAAGAAAGGATCTTGACTGGCACATTTTCATTGTCACATAGAGTTATTAAAAACAGCTGCACATAATATTGCTTCTAAATGTATATATATAGAGTTGTAGCTCAGTGTAAATACATAAAGTAAGTGTAAAGATGAAATACATGCTGCCTGTCAGTGATATATACACAACACTCGGGGGAGGGAATGTCCATCGTAAGTCTATGCGAACACCTCTGGTCAGTCTATGACATTGCGAACACCTCCGGTCAGTCTATGAACACACATATGGAAAGCCCCAGGGAAAAATAGCAAAGAAAATTGGAAGGAACACGAGACATAGTTCTCCTAGGAGAACTAGAGTATAAGGAAATCTTAAGCTGACTTTTCTTTTTCTTTATAATTAACTTTCTCCTCCTCCCTTTACCACCTCCCCCCTAAAAGTAGTCTCTAAGAGCAAAAACGAAGTACTGAATTCATGGGCACAGTTCATTCTGTTCCAAAAGCAAGAACTGTTCTACTGTTACTGTTACCATGACAGTGAAAGCAACGATCAAGAAAAATATAGTGAAATTACTCATTGATGTTTTGATGTTTCTTTCTTCTCTTTCACACTTGATTGAGTTTTGGGGGAAGGTGGTTCAATAAATGCACGCGAGGAGGAAATTCTGTTTACAGGATATAGGTTGTTTTGGGGAAATTCTACAGCGGATATTGGTTACTTTTGAGAAGGAATGAATGACAATTTTTGTCTTGACCCTGTTATTCAGTCAAAAGTTCCCATTCGTGGAAATCTATTGACGACCTCCTTCATTCAAGCTTCCAAAGAAGGCCATCAATTGAGATAGAGTATGGCTCTACTCAGAACAAATTTTAGCACCAGTGTTCTTAAGTAAGAATAATTGAAAGAAATGCTTCGGTAAATATTGAAGACATCATTTTGCATTATTGAAATGAAAGTAACATGGGTAAACAAACTTCTGTACACTTGTCGCAACATTGATCAAGATTTGCAAGCAATAAGAATTCACTTTTCGCAAAACCATCTCATTTCAAAGTAAGTGGCTGCAGGTTTGAGGGTTTGATTTTTTTTGGTCCAAACTTTTATAAGATTTTTCAGAAAATGTCTAGGTGGGTGGGGCCCCATCAGTGTATCGCAACATTGGAGAGAGGGAGTGTCGCAGGTTATTACTGAGCAGGCAGCTGTACTCATCTTCACACACAGGAACAAGACAGGCTAAGAGAAGTAACAGTAGTAACAGCAGTTGAATAGGCAGGGCAGCACGTATTACACGCATAAGTAACGATGGACGGACTTGAGATTTTGTGAGCGCCGAAACTTCTCTTGCGGTCTCATGATCTGTACTCAAACTGTGGAAATAAAAAAAACAACATACTGAAATTTAAAACAGCTCCATTGTACCTGTATCATTAATCTTGCACTACAGAGGAATTTGATTTGGTGATGAGAAGAAAACATTGAGACTGGTTACTCATCTTTTTGAAGTTCACGTCTGTTCTTTTGTTTGCATTAAGTTTTTGGTAAAAAGTATGTGACAGCCCTGATAACTCAAACTCAAACCTTTACTTGAACTAATTTAACGCTTGACAAAATAACTTATCATCATTTCAATTAAGTAATACACAATGTGTTTACAAATTTTTAGGTAGTTCCATCTATTCAAATATGAGTATGTATAGTGAGTACAAATATTCTTAATACAACTATTAACTTAACAATTTGACTCCAAAACATGTGCAAGCCATGCAAACTGTGAAGCATGCAAAATATGGTGGGTTATCATTATTAGAACCGAAGGATATTATGTTAACATAATGTGATGGGTTTTTGGTACTAAAATACTTTGTAACCCTGACTACCACCCATAAAGTTGCTTACAAGTTACAAACTGAGTGAACTTAATATATCACAGTTTTCTTGTAAATCAAATAACATTGTATATATTAACACCATGAGACCATGAAAGTACCGATATTCCAGAAAAGAAAAGAAGCAAAAAAATGTACTGAGTAACACAACCCCGCTCAGTCTATCCATCGGCTGTCTAATGTTATAGTTATAGTCAAACCTTGCAGGGCTGGGAAACATTCAAACTTTAATGATGCAGAAAACGGAATGCATTATGTATTCTTCAATCTCCATGACCCCCTTATCATAATAACGTTAACTCAAATATTTAAAGACTTGGGATTATTTTCAGTTCATAGAATACGGGATCATTCGTCTACACTCACAGAAACACACAAAATTATGTCTACAGAGCAACTCTGTTGTCCTTTAATAAACGCAGTATATGCATTTGAACGTTGACCTGATTTGTACAATTTTACAGGAGTAAAAAAACTGAATGATATTACCAAAAAAACAAACTCTTTGCAAACATCTCAAGTCAATATTTTTAAGAATACAATTTTGATAACTTCCTTGTGATCTTTAAAGCAAATACAATTGTTTTCTCGGTAATAGCATTCGAATTTTGACTCTCCTGTGAAACTGTAAAAACTGTACTTTAGAAAATGATGGCAGAACTGAAAAGGAAAGGTAGATTCCGACTGTTTACAATTTTTCCATAACCAGTTGTCCCATGAGAGTACATCTTGGCACTGAGTGTCAGTAAGGCCGAAGCTGGAAAATTATTGTCATGAATGTGCTTGTCTTCATGTGCAGGATACAAGTAGGCCTACATAGAGACATATATAATGGACTTTTGCAAACTAAACAAAGCAAGAAGAACATCACTGATAGATAGCCTATGATATTCATGTAATCTTATTTGTAAGCAGACACTCATACAGCAGCTTCTATAACCAAAGAAAGATCTGCAAAGAGATAACATGTCCACATGTATGCACAGATCTATGTATACGAATGTTTTAAAACACGAATATACATAAACATAAAAAGTACGCTACAAAGCAACGATGACAAATTCTAAAGTCACGAGAGATACCTGAAATATTTCTACAGCCTACACAAATAAGTTATTTACAAAATAGAAATGGCAAACTGTGTGAGTTACAATAAACTTGGAGTCCAGCAACATCGAGAGGAATCAACATCCCTGCCGAAGCACGAAGAGACAACACAGGTCAGCACAAAAAGACTATAGTTAGTAAGAAATACCACGTGAGCACACCGTAATGCTGCACTGCTTTGAATGAGCACGCATGGAAGAGATGCCAGGAAATAATAATGAAAGATGTTAAGACTGAGTAGATGTGAACAAAATAAACCAAGTGATACAGAGCAACACAGGCATAAGGGTTGCCCTCAAGGATTTGGAAATAGACCAATCCTCTATATCTTATTCAATCCCCTTGGAATAAATTTACAAATCAATTGGGACTATCACTATTTAGATTTCTAAATTGTTGCTCAACAACTTAAAATGAAAGGAAACTGTGAAAATACTGTGGAGTCCCCTAAAACCGAACACTGTAAATCCGAAAAAAAGTAGTCAACAGAACAAAAATAGAATTCCCCGATTCTTTTCTTCCCTTTTTGATCAGTGTCTTCAAACTGAAAACACGTAAAAACAAAAAAAACCCCGAAAAAACCCCCGCCACGAACCACATTCTAGAGGAAATACAATAGTATTTTACAATTTTGTCTTTTCGTTTTCTATAAACTGACATTATAGGTTTAGATTCTAATCATAGCCATTCAAAAACATTTCACAAACAATGGAGAAATGGGATGAATAAACAGAATGAGCAAAGATGAACAATAGAAAAAAAAGCTTCACTTTTAAACACAGTCGTCCGAAGAGCTTATTTCTACTTCAGTGGGCTGGCTAGTTCTGTTCCCTCTTCCTATAAACACTTATGAGTAGCGCTGTACAGTTGTCATGAATTAACTTTTCTATTTTCAGTTAGAGTTTTACAGCACTTGAAACACAAATATAATACATGTAAGTCATATCAGTGCCGAAGACTAGAAGTGTTACTATTACTAGGGGGTAACATACAGAGAACAGAATAGGATGAGATAAGGACATTAGATGTTTGATAGGAAAGGCACACCCGAGCACCCACCAACCACCCACTCGAAGCAAAAGCTCTGTAGTTTGTAACCATGTTGAACAATGGTAGCGATTTCACCAACTGTAATATGTTTTACTTTATTGGCACGGTACAATTTATATGAGAAGTGAAGCATCCCCCCTATCTGATATGGACAACCTTGTTTTAGTAAGCATTTTACGGCACTTGCAACACAATTAGGTCATATAAGTGTTGAAGATTAGAGGTGTTACAAGAAAGCAACAAACACAAAAAAGAAGGAGAGATAAGGAGAGAACCACATCGGAGCAAAACCAACCACCAACAGGGTCAACCTGGAATGAATGGGATAAAACAGGTCTGCACTAAAGGTTCTTGACCTTTGGCAAACCAGTGTAGATGTGGGAAATTAACCCCAAAATACTAGTATAAATGAACCAGTGCCAGAATATTGTTCTCTCTCTCCCTTCCCCCCCAAAAAAACCCCCCCAACAAAAAACAAAAAACTAAACTAAAAAAACAACAACAGCTCCATCCCCGCCCCCATAAAAAAATCCTCCCAAAACCCAAACAAACCCAAACAACAAACAACCCACCTCACCTCCTAAACAAAAACATACAACTGCATTCAATACACAACACGTATTTAAGACACTGGGATCAGACACATATATGTGGGTAAAAAAAAAAGATTGCAGGACAACAGATTTACTTAACAAGAAAAACGAACGCACATCATCTGAGGGTATCAATTTTTTCTTTAAAAAAAAAGCCAAAACCCCAAATAATTATTTAGTGTTGGCCAAATGTTCCTTCATAGATGGGGCAACAGTTGCCCTTCTGGTACAACTTCTACTGGATGTGGTTAATTCGACTTTGACCTTTAAAATCAAACATATTTGCTCTTCAAGGTCGAGTGTCAATTCAGTTATATTGTGCCAAATTAGTAGCTTTTGCTGAGTTAGGTCTTGATCCTGATATCTCTTGACGATGGCCAGGTCAGTCTTCTACGTCCTTTTTTTTTCTTTTCACAAAGTAAAAGTTAATACACAGTCATTTAAATTATATATGAGTAGACTTACTCTGCAGTCACACACATAAAAAAAAAATTGCAGATCTTTCCAAGTCTTTCATTCATTAAAATCACTTAGACTATACTGCAAAAAAATTATGAACCTATTGAAAACCACAGAAAATTTTAGATTACATAAAAAAAAAATAACACATAATGCGCGAGACAAAATCCCTCTCGCCTTTTAAGTCAGCTGGGCTGCAGATGTAGGCTGATGTGCGGCTGGACATCAGCAGTAGAATGTAAGTGTTGTACGATGACATAGAATGAACGAGCAATGTATAAAATTTTAAAAAGACAATGGAAGACACTAGGAAGGCACCAGGAAAGACACCGTATGTAGAAAGAGTTGATGAGCAGCAAACAACACTTGCCACAACAGTCTGTCTGACAACGGAATAATAAGTACTTGTATTAAACCTATAATGCAGGGAAGGCAACTTGTTGACAAAAAAAAAAATATCCACCGATGATCAGATGTGACTATACATGTGCAGTTAACTTTATTTGCATTTCCTTCTTTTCTTTTTTCTTTTGCTCTTTCCATGTACTGGGCAAAGTGCTCTGCTTTTGAACGTACACAAACAGGGATTTTTACCTAGAATGGAACTGATGAAATATTTGTATACCGGGTACTGGGAAAGCACTGAGTTGAAGAATTGGAGAAAGAAAAACATGCTGACAAGACAGCAGCCATCCAGTCCCTTAGTAAGAGTTTTACGGCACTTGCAACACAATAAGGTCTTAGAAGTGCTGAAGATTAGAGGTGTTACAAGAGAGTAACAAACACAAAAAGGGAAGAGAGATAAGGACAATAGATTTTTTATAGGAAAGAAGGAACAAACCACACCAGAACACCCGCACACCACCCACACACCACCTGCAACAGCCATTTAGAGCATGGAGAAAACAGATAGGCAGACAGAAATAACAGAGAGAAAGAAGAGAACCAGGGCCTTTCAGAGATGCCCTCCAACTACCTATGGATGGCAAAACAAATGGAGACCTGGGAGCAAATGCTTTTCCTGGGCTTACGACGAATATAATAATTTGATTGAGTTCTTGAAATAATTCTGTGCTGATTTTGGCTTTGTGCAACTTTACAAAGCCTAATTTTTGCACGACAAGACAAGATTTCAACAAAGCATAAGCGTGTGATACTGTGCTACAGATTATTATAGTAGCAGCTTTTTATATTAAATTATATAGACTGTTGTTGATTGGTATACACATTTAATATGTAGGCTTATTTCAATTTATATTACTAAAGCAAAGCACATAAGATTTGATCAACGCAAGTCTTAAGGAGGAAAGGATGAGGTTAAGCACATAGCTTTGGAGAGAACCAATACTTTTGCTTCTTGGGGTTAAAAAAAAAGTGACTGAAAGCCTTAACTTTAAGAAATTGCGGTTGCAATAAAATAAATAAAGGATGTCCTCAACATGCTGCGATAATGGCCCGAGTCATTTATCACATTGTTGAAAAGATCCCAAAACTTCCAGATTTCATGTGTTTTCTTAATTCAGTCCATAATGGTGTTCTTTGTTAAAACTTGGAAATTTGTTGATGCATTTGCACAATTTTGTAACGTGGTGGTAAGCCATTGTTAGTCAAGGTGGGCCAATTGTTTTTTAAAACTTAAATAGGACTAATCCCATCACTGCAGCATGCTGAAGATTTTTTTTTTTTTTTATGGGTGTACACTTTGAATTTAAAGAGAGTAACAGGGAAAGGGGGGGGGGGGTTGGAAAGGAATGTATAATCACACGCCAAAAATGTAATCCAGCATCAACTTTGCTCCACATCTGTTTTAAATGGCTGTAAATTGTAAACCAAAATGTCTCTTTATGAAAACATTTTTTGACATAGTTCATGTTGCTGGTAAAGTTGTTTTTTTGTGTGGAAGGAAAACAAAAAAGACTTCAATGTTATCATTAAGGCTGATGAACACACATAATTTATTTACCTAGAAATCTCAATGACCCACTTTCCTGATGCTTTGACTATGAAAATCATGTTTGGACGTTTTTGTCTATAAAAGACAGACTGAGATGGAATAAGGCACAGATCAGGGTGAGAAATTATAGGCAAGGGAGACAAAAAGGCAGTATGGGTTAAGGTTTGTTATCTCTGACGGGAAGAGCTATTGACAAGACAGTTACAAGGACAGAGAGAGTACAAAGAAGGCCAGGTTTCAAATCATTTAGTTAACTACTGTCATTTGTTAAAAGGAACTGGGTAGCTTATTTAGGTCAAGGAAGTCAAGGAAAGGAAAGGGACAGGGTAATTACTGTTAGTTGATGGATTATCCCTACAAACTAATCCATTTTTTACACAGAAATAAGCCCCCATGACCAACATGTACAAGATTTCATTCTATTCGCATTATTTTCCTACTGAGTACGAGGTGCTTTTTGCGCTTCATGCTGTTAGATGTGAGCATCCACCCACTGCCCAGGACGCTATTTCCCCAGGGTTATTCAGGTGAGTGATGTTAAAGAGCATTTTTGATACCCTGAAAACTGGAGAGAAGTGCAACATATCTTGACTTGGGAAAAAAAAGATGGACCCCATACTGAAGTAATGAAACACAAATAAAAAATTGAAAAAAGGTAAAAGAAAGAAATAAGTTACTTATTAAATTGAAATATAGACAAATGGTATAAGAGAAAACCCCCCCCACACAAAAAGCAAAAAAACAACCTTTAAATATGAGAACAATAAATTGTATTTCAGGCCCCCAAAAATCCCAGCTCCTTTAGAAATACGACTATTGCATTAAAAAAGTATAAAAATGAGAAAATATTCCAGTCCAAAAAAAAAAAAGAAAAGAAAATTATTATCTGCTCTCCGTTTCAGTGTTCTGCACGATGCTCTTAAGTGGGGGACAAGAACAACATACATCATGCACATGAAGAGAGAATGCACTTGACATTTCCATGTAAGATGCACTCTCAAAACATAAAAAAAGGAGATAAGCGGCTAGAGTCAGGCAAAGCGATGAGCAATGAGGCAACGGCCATGGGTGAACTGGTACATGGTATGAAATGAAGTGACAGCTGTGAAATAATTATTTCTTTAGCTAAATCTCCCGCATTCCATACAAGGGGCATACCCTGCCGCCTGAGAGACAGTGAAGGGATAGAACCAACAAAAAATGAACAAAAAATTAGGGAAAAACTTTTGTCGATCCCCCCGTTAACAAGTGAGGGGTGCGACATTGATTTACTTGTCTCTATCCTGTGAGCTCGATGGTAGAAAAGGACTTGCGATTCTCATTAGAAACTGTGGACCAAAAGCATCATGGGAATGAGGTGAAATGTCGGAAGGACAATGGTGAAGATGTGCTCAAGACAAACTGACTTCAAAATAAATACATATATAAAAGAAATGAAATTAAAACTGAAGATAAATTGACTGAAAAGAGAAACAAAAATTAAATTAAAAAATGGAAACGCCTACAAACTAAAAGTGATAAATATATGGTACAGAAACTTTAGCATGAAAGAAATTAGGATAAAATTTAGAAATACAGTATGCTTGACAATTAATAGATCATAGCACAGTTATTGGATGTGGTAACATAAGGCCTGTTTATCTTTTCAAGAAGTCAAAAAGTTATTAGAAACTAAGAATATAAGAGTGATGATGGTCTAATGCATCAAGACTGAATCCACCACATTGTCCAGGAAGGACATTCTTTGATGCATTACAGAAACTGTTAGACATAATGTGAACTCATGTCAGTTGTAAAAATAGCACAAAGGTCTACTAGCAATGAAAATGTTGATTATATCTACATTAGACAGGTATTGAAAAAAAATAAATTTTACTATAGAAAACAAAACTGTTGCAGTAATCTTGGGCTATGTATGGTACCAAAAAATGATTCAATCTTCACATAACAGATCTAATCAACATCAAAGGCAGGTTGAAGGATGCATCTTTTGTCAAAATCTCCAAAAAGTCTTAAGTACTCGGATTAAACAAAAAGTAAAATAGTACAGGGAAGTCAGGATCAGTCAAAGTCTGATAGAATCTTGAGTCTTTTAAATTACTTTTAATTTATCGTTTCACTAAAACTGTTTGTGTAGACCTTTAGCATACTCATATGGTATGAACTTAGAAAAGAACGTTCTGGAAACCGACTCTTGTTTTCATAGGATACGTCTTAACAGAGAGAAAAAAACAACCAATAATTAGAATGAAATGTTAGTTTGTCACACAAAAAAGCAGTACATATTTGTCTGCTAATGCTCCCCATTACACAAATTCAGTGGTGAAGTCTTTTTCACATTGCCGCAGTGCACGGCAAAAACACATATTGTTTTGTGTGCAGCAGGAATACAAGATTTTCCAAAATACATTTTGAACAATTAAATGAGACAAAATCAAAAGGAGGAAAGGGTAAGCCTTTTACACAGGACAGTAAGCTTGAGCCAATAAAAAAAACAACCCATAATGAAACAGCAAAACATAATCAAACTGAGAGTTGTTTGATAATGCCCACTAAGGATTTTCGTTGTGCTCATGATAACAAAAGCTAAAAGATGTGCTATCACTGAGAGACACAAACATTAGAAACTTGATTATTTCGCCTCTTTACAAACAATTACTTTAAAAGTGGGAATTTTTTTTGCATCTTGAAATTCAATAGATTAATATATATCATATAATAAATAACAGAATAAATGAATATATATAATATAGGTAGATACAGACACGTTCCATGCTTACTGTACTTCCACTGTTTCATATAATCAACAACATAGTATGAAGAAATATCAATTAATTTTTACGAGTGTGTGTTGACAAATACAACATTATTCTAACCATAAACAGACGATATTTGTATAAAAGCTGAAATATTCAACAAACATATCTCAGTGTCTATCCCACCAAGAGAAAAAAGGAATCTATTTCTTCTCTTTCAATTACAAAAGCATTGCCTTTATTTGGAAAAGAAGGCAGGTGGCGGCACTTACCTACTGCGAGAGAGAAAAAAAAAGAGAAAGAAACAAGGCTATTGGCACTTACTTACAGATACAAGGCACACACTATAAAATATGAGTTTGGCACATCTACTTTATCTTTCTCGCGTTTACCTGTCGGGCGATTGCATACGGTGATCGGGACCTACGGACAGTGGTGGGAAGACCTGGACGGTGAGGGGTCGATGACCTTGAGGCTGCTAAACTGCCGAACCCAGATGACCTCTCCTCGCTCAGATCAAAACTGCTCGGCTGATGAACACACAAATGTAAACAAACAGGCGATTTAATGACATAATAATTATTTTTTATTATATCTGCTTTTGTTATGACTTTGCAATAGTGACATATAAATGAAAGTGGGCAAAAATAAACTAAAGCCCTTGCATTTTCTTCTACTTGACCCAGTGTGCAACATCTGGAATTGCCATGGGGATCACAGTAGGGTAGCAGGTATATATATCTCTCAGGGATAGGAAACACCAAGTGGTGATCTTCATGATACGTAAAGACAAAAAAAATACACAAAATCACAAACATAGACAATCTACACACCACTGCTGATCGCCACTGTGCAGCACCTTGTTTTTGAACTAGGGTTGTCATGTCTTGCTCAAATGCTGAAACTAAGAGAGAAGCCCGCAAACTGTGCACATCCACACATATACAGGTGGAAGTGGAGTTTTGAATGCTCAAAATGTGGCAAACTTTTCTCTGCAAGAATTGGTCCACAGCAGAAGCCACAAGTCATCTTAACCTTTAGTCCTTCAAATTCTTCTATTTCACTGAGAAATATTCTCCTCTGTGGATATATTGGTCATCGTTGTGACATTGACAGATGAGCTATTGAATCCTGCCTTGTTCAAGAACACCCATCACCTGAACGCTTCATCACCCACACATGCTTGACAGTACTATGAGCCTAAGCTCAGTAGTCAGTAGCCACTCAGCCACCAGAGCTCACAAATACATTACTATTAACGTATACACTCCACTATAATACAAGCAGTTTTTCCAAAAAAAGGAGCACAAAAATACTCCCCCCCCCCATCGTTTTGTTTGTGTGACACACAACCAGGATCCAGCCCAACTAAGGGGAAGTAATGCCATGTACTTTTTCATCTGATTTATTTACAAATCTGGATTTTACAACACATCATGACGTCTTGTTTGGATTACCTGCCACCCCATTCTCACAGATTAAATCAATCTCTATGCAACAACCAACACTTCTTAAAAGTCAGACATATATTTGATGCCACACTAGTACTGGATTTCCAGCATGTTGAATCCCCTACATCAAATCAGAAATTCAGCTTATGCTATACATAGAACTTACATAAAACTTACAAAAGTGGGCCAATTTATTTTGGAGACAAAGTATACCCCTGATATTATACCCAAGGTCGTGTTATAGACGAGTACATACAGTGTATTATTCATGTACACAAACTTTATACATACTGTGTTTCCTCGCTTGGGTGTGATATGCAGACGAGTCTCGAGACTAGACAAATAACCAGATGTCAGATGCAGCAAATCGCCGAGACGGTTGTTGATGATGAGGGCGCTATCACGAGCAGTTGACATCTCGGGCGAGTCGGTGCTGGCCAGCAGTTGGTCTGCGGTTTCTTTGAGGGCGTAGACTTTGGTTTGTTTGTGAAGCAGTTCCCCGTTCAGATCCTTGTTTTGTAAAGACGTAGAGAGAAAAAGAGGGAAGATATAAACTACAAGCTGAATGAGGTGACTTATTACAATTTTAAGTGGTATAGGAGAGGGGGCAAAAGAGAACAATTGAAAGAGGGAAAGATAAAAAAAAGAAGTAAGGAAGGAGGGGGAGAGAGAGAGAGAGAGAGAGCGAGTGAGACAGACAGACCGACAGACAGACAGACAGACCGACCGACCGACAGACAGACAGACAGACAGACAGACAAACAGACAGACAGACAGACAGACAGACAGACAGACAGACAGACAGACAGACAGAAAGAAAGACAGACAAACAGACAGAAGCAAGAGATCACCTGGAGAACAAGAAGTGACTTCTACCTTACCCTGAAAAATAAAATCTCACTATGAAAAGGAAGCCAAATATACGATCTAGCACGCATACAACGAACAGATTTTTTTCCAATGCGTTATATTCTTTGTATTTAAAACATGTGCCCAGCCAAATTCGTACATAGTGAAAAGGTTTTTGCCTCGCTGCCAATTTCACTATGTGCGTGGTTGACTGTGTAATCAAAGCCATTAACACAAAGAATATTGTGTCCTGAACTTACCATGAGTATGGCATACTTGGCCCAGAGAGCAGACTCCTCTGCGTTGGGAGGAATGGCCTCGCACTGCCGGACTTTGGCCTCGATTCCTTCGAGCCACAACTGATAGTCATGGATGGTGTGGTGGAACTCTTGGCACTGTATCAGCGATCGCTGAACACAAAATAGAGAAAGTGTGAGAATGGACAAGGCTTCAGTTCATTTCCATACAGTGACGCATAGAACTTACAAGGGGATAAAGTTGTTGAGTAATTGATAGATTTATTAAACCAATTCATATTCTTGGGACTCACAAATTCTTGTTCTTTCAGCGGAATTCAACTCTGTTTCCTAGTTTATTGTTTACAAATTATTTACACACTCTGAAAAGGAAGATTAACTGTTAGATTTACTCAAAGCATTAGCAACTTGTGTTTTATCTTCAGCCAGTGCGACAAACTCAAACTATAAATCACCATGATAACTTTAACTAGTGCGATTACTGGTACTGAGTATGCAGATAACAGTTCTACTGGCTGCCTTTGCCTTGTTGGAAGATCAAACGTCTTACCTGTAGATCTCTCTGGATATCTGTGGCTCTGGTGAGAACAAGTTCCCACCGTTGGTTCATCTCATTCAGTTTTGCCTTCAGCTGTCTTGTTTCTGCCGTTTTCATACTGAGGTAGTTACGACTGAGCAAATTGATCGATGTTACTGTGCTCTTCTTGGACTCTAACTGGACCAGGAAGTCCTGGGGAAAAGGAAGTTATGATGTCACTTATATTTTCGTTCTCTGTGTCTTCATTCAAAGCTTATTTAGCGTGATTTGGTAAAAGACTGTGTTATATTGTATCTCTACCGAGTTAAAATATGATACTCACTTTGCACTGTCTGACAAGTCGCTGTCTCAGAATTACAAAGTTCTGTCTGCTCAGTAGGCCTACCTAGCTTTGAGAAATTTGATGTAAAAGATTTTGAGTTTCACATCATGTCAAGCTTTTTCGCATGCAGTTCTTAAAAAGCATGCAGTTCTTTGAATATCTTGATAATGACTCTGTATAATCTTATGATTTTTATAAAGAAGATTGAACATTTGGTTTCTGACCTCATTGTCCTAGTAACTCAAAACGGCCAAATATGTCAGAGAGTGCTTTGTAATTTGAGGTAACGAAGTCTCTAACCATACTCACTTCACACTGTCTGACAATTGCACCTAATCAAAATATCATCTCTAACCATACTCACTTTGTACTGTCTGACAATTGTACCTAATCAAAATATCATCTCTAACCATACTCACTTTATACTGTCTGACAATTGTCTCTAACCATACTCACTTCACACTCTCTGACAATTGTCTCTGACCATACTCACTGCACACTGTCTGACAATTGTACCTAGTCAAAATATCATCTCTAACCGTACTCACTTCACACTGTCTGACAATTGTACCTAGTCAAAATATCATCTCTAACCATACTCACTTCACACTGTCTGACAATTGTACCTAGTCAAAATATCATCTCTAACCATACTCACTTTATACTGTCTGACAATTGTCTCTAACCATACTCACTTTATACTGTCTGACAATTGTCTCTAACCATACTCACTTTATACTGTCGGACAATTGTCTCTAACCATACTCACTTTGTACTGTCTGACAACAGTCTCTAACCATACTCTCTTCACACTGTCTGACAATTGTCTCTAACCATACTCACTGCACACTGTCTGACAATTGTACCTAGTCAAAATATCATCTCTAACCATACTCACTTCACACTGTCTGACAATTGTCTCTAACCATACTCACTTCACACTGTCTGACAATTGTCTCTAACCATACTCACTTCACACTGTCTGACAATTGTCTCTAACCATACTCACTTCACACTGTCTGACAATTGTCTCTGACCATACTCACTTCACACTGTCTGACAACTGTCTCTAACCATACTTACTTCACACTGTCTGACAATTGTACCTAGTCAAAATATCACCTCTAACCATACTCACTTCACACTGTCGGACAATTGTCTCTAACCATACTCACTTCACACTGTCTGACAATTGTCTCTAACCATGCTCACTTCACACTGTCTGACAATTGTCTCTCACCATACTCACTTCACACTGTCTGACAATTGTTTCTCAAAATACTCACTTCACACTGTCTGACAATTGTCTCTCACCATACTCACTTCACACTGACTGACAACTGTCTCTAATCATACTCACTTTGTACTGCCTGACAACTCTGTCCAGCTGGCTGATGTCCGACGGGAGCGTGCGGTGGGTGGCCTGCAAAGCCTCCGCCTCGTCCAGCCAGGCCAGCATATTGTCCAGCTCGCCGGCAAACTGGACCAGGTCATGTCTCTCCTGGGATACCTTCAAGTCCTGGTCTAGGGCTCGCCTCTGTAGGTGTTCCCACCTCTGTATCACCACTGCACAAAATATAATGTATAATGATTAATTATAGTTATTAAGTTAATCAATTCCCTTTTCACAGTCAGATACACCCAAGGTGCTATGGGAAAATCAAACAGTTGTGAAAATAGCAATATGAACAATCAGATATTCAATATCTCTTGAGTAAATGGGAGTTTGCTGACTTGAAATATGTTAATTAGAAGCTAAGATATAAGCATATTAAGCCAGTCATCTCCCTGGTACTCAGTTGCGAGAAATCCGGGTTTGAAGTCAGAACATTCCATTTTCACCAACATGTTAAGAAATCGTTTAAAAACACATTTCTAGTTGTTTTTCAAGTATTTTTTTTTCAGAACACTTAAATAAGATGTTGGAGTATTTCATTATGCAAGTAACTCATTTTCCATTCTAAACAAATATTTTCATTCCGTTTGGTAATATCTTAGCTCCAGGACTAGTGAGATCCGACTGATTTTCTTCTGGCTCCTCACATTTGACTACTTTAAACAAATGCACCTATTCTTTCTAACATGGTCCCTTTCTTGGGAGGTTGAATCTTTTTTTTTTTTTTGGTTGATTGTTGTCTCCAGAGACTCTTGATAATCATCAGTCGTTGCATTAGCCTAACAGTTCACTTACAAGATATATGTATCTTTCTAGTAAGAAGCTCCTTTAACACTCTTAAAATATTTTCATCTAAAAATTTACGTAGTAAGTAAAATTTAATACATATTTACAAATTAAGATGACTTCTCGCTATCAATTTGAAGATTTGTAGGTTATTCATATTTTCATGGGTGACAATTCTTCTAAAGAGGAATAGTATGAAATCAGAACAGTTGGGAGTTAAAAAGGAGTTAAAGAAATCCAATCAAAGTACTAGAAAAAAGGTAAATAAGAACATAAAACAACACTAGACAAAGATTAGATGCATAATAATAATAAATAGCATTTGTATAGCTCATACCCACGCTCAACAGCAAGCTTTACACTATATTATTACCTCAGCAGACCATAGAACACTCAGAGACATTCCCAGCTCCCCAGGAAACATACAATGCAAGCAGCTGATTAAGCGCTCAAACACTATCAAACTGACAAGATCTTTCGCTGTCTATAGCTGGGTACTCATTCCCACCTGGGTGGAGTGAGGAATTTGTGCAAAGTGCCTTTCCCAAGGACACAAAGTTGGGCCCTGACAGGATTGGAACCCACGACTTAGGGTTGCGATTCAGGGAGCCTGACCACTTAAGGAGCAAAAAACCCCCAAAAAACCAGATGAAAAGCTTACATCTGACTTCTGCATCAGCGCTGGCAATGACATCCACCCTGGTCTCTGTCTTGAGCAGGCGGTCCAGTCTCCGCACATTGTCCACCGCCACCTCACACTCCACCATCAGCTGCATCTGTAGTAGCAGGAGAAAAGCGGGGGAGAGGATATTAATGTTATGACAAATGGTGGTTCTCCCTAATACAACTCAACATCTGTTCTGCATCAGTGGCAAGATCTTTGACCATAGCTTAACAAATGGCAGTTACCCTAACTATAACTCTTACCCTAACTATAACTCTTACCCTAACTATAACTCTTACCCTAACTATAACTCTTACCCTAACTATAACTCTTACCCTAACTATAACTCACCATATTTATGTTCTGTCTGATCATACCACAACAAAACGACAATTTCCCCTCACTACAACTCACCATGTGTTCAGCATCAGAGCCCTGGGACCTCATGGTTGCCTCCAGCCTGGCCAGTTTGACGTTGCAGTCGTCCAGTGACTCCACCAGCTGTTCCATGAGGACATCAATCTTTGCCGAGCGCTCGAGATCCCCAAGGTCATGTCGCGGAGACTCTGTCAACGAGCACAAACAAATGTTTGTCAGTTGAGATACTGAAAAGCGCATCAGCACATTGATTATTGTTCTGCTTAGTTTAATAAGGGTTTTACAGCATTTGCAACACAATAAGGTCATATAGGTGCCAAATACTGAAGGTGTTGCCAGATAAGGACGATAGATGTTTGATAGTTAAAGAAGGAGCAAACCACACCAGAGCACCCACCAACCATCCACACTGTTGTTCAACAAGGCAATGAAGCAAGAAAGACAAACAAAAGATACTACTGCAGTACAATGGTCCAAGCACTGTCCTTCCACTGCTGGATGCAAATAATAAGAATAAATAATAAAAGAAAAAATAGCATTTTGCATAGCACATATCCCCACTCAACAGTAAGCTCTATGCGTTTTGCAATCCATACCTTGTTGTGCCCAGTAATTTCTAAAAGTTTGTTTTGACAAAAACAATAAGTGCCATCTTTCTCAGAGTGTCATGGAAACTATTAAATTGGAACATGATGAAAAACAATCCGAGCAGAGACCAAAAAGGAGAAAGTGTCCGAGTCTGGGTAAAGAGAAACACATTGACACAATAATAATTATGGTCATTTAGTGCTGGGAAAAAGTAAGAGTGACAGAAAGAAACAACAGAGAGAAAGAAAAGAAGTAGGACCTATATATGGCACCCTCCAACCTCGCCAAGTGTAAGGAATGTTTCAATTAATTCAAGCCAAGAGGGAGGTCTGTCCTAAAGAACTGAGCCACAATGTTCCTAATGCTAGTCACCTCTTCCATCCATGATGTCTAAGGCGACTTTAGATGGGGATGATGATCGTCTTGGACTCATCCTTGCTGACGAACCAGAACCGCTCCCTGGCAACCTTGACCTTCTGGGGGATGGCGATCGTGACCTTCTGGACGGTGACCCTGGCCTGCCAATCGGGGAGCTTGTGCGTAGTGCTGGGGGGATGGTCACGCGACTTGGTGATGCGTCCGTTCTTTTCCTCATAGGTGGTGATTCAGGAGGGGACGTCTTGAGGTATTCCTCCACCTGACTCAGTGTGGCGGTCGCTTCTGCTTCTCTCAACTCTCGGAGACGATCCACACTCGAGGGAAGGTCCTCCACCTAGGTTGTTTTTAAAAAATAGTTTTAGTAAGAGTTTTACGGAACTTGCAACACAATAAGGTCATATAAGTGCCAGAGATTAGAGGTGTTACAAGAGAGTAACAAACACAAAAAAGGAGGAGAGATCAGGACGATAGATGTTTGATAGGAAAAAGGAGCAAACGACACTATAGCACCCGCCAACCATCCACTCCACCTAGATGTAAAGAAAAAGATTATTAAAATTTGAGAAAAAAATATGGGTGGGGGTTATCACTGATGACCTCTTCCTAAAACTGACATGAGATGATAAGTCAAAGAGACACAAAGTACCATGCCTCCTTAGGCTATAAACTGAATCCTCTTTAAAATTCTTTCTGATGAAACATCTACACCATTTATACTAGATAATCAATATATTTGTCAGGAGGTGATGGAATCAAGTGCTCGTCAATTTTTAGGCCTATGGGAATATTGGTATTATCTTAAAGCCTGTTCATTCGCCTTCCTTTTGATGAACAAAAATATTGATCTATGTTGAATAGAAGTCGAGATATTTGCGATTTAAGGAGGTCATGGACGCCTGGTTTGAAAGGTAAAATTATTGAGAAAATGACTACCAAAGTTTGGTAACTTCCATAGCATAATAGTGCTTGGAAATAAAAAATTTACATTTTTTGTGCCTTTCATCAATGTTTTACAGAAAAATACACACAGAAATGTGTTTTTAATTAGACATAAAAGGTGTTGAGCCAAAAAAAAAGAAAATTATAAAAAAATTGTCCATTGGCCAATAAGATGCTGATTTCTTTGATTTCATAATTTTGATGAGCGCCTGATTTCACCACGATGCCTCACATATTATCATAATTTCCTGAAAGAAATTTGGGTGGGGGTATCTCTGATCACTTCTTCTTAAAAGTGACACGACAAGTCAAAGAGCAACAAAGTACCATGCCTCCTTATGATATAAACTGAATCCTCTTCAAAGTTCTTTATGATGAAACATGACCTCATCTATACCATCTATACCATATCTTAATAATCAGTATATTTCTTCTCTCACAAAGATGAAATATAGTGAATCTACCAATGAAATATGTAATTAAAAGAAAAAAAGTATGGAGTCTCAATGCTTCTTGCCAAACAATACAAAGATGTATAGACGAATGAAGGAAATAACAGGCTGGCTGAACCAGTGAGTGCACTGCTTTGACCGTAGATCTGACCACCAACCATGACTTCCAAAAAGTAAACAGGATTGTTTTCTGTAAATTTAATTTCCATCACTTTGTCAACAAATGGGGGGACTATAAATAGGTCGCTTAATTTAAGGAAAGGTTATGAATTGTTTACAAAGTTCTTTTTTGACCTTTGTAATGATGTGAGAGCAAACAATACTCTTGAAAACAGACTGAATCATGTCTCTGATAGTTCCTCCTATAGTTCTGATTTTGTGCAGGCCAAAAGATGCACATCGTCAGCCAGCTGTAATTCTACTCTAAGCCCAACATTTTGAACATTAAAAAAACTGCAGTTTCTTAATCTGTGGTATTGGTTGCATGTGCTCAAGAACAATTTTGTCGAAATTCAAATTCTAAATGTATAAAAAAAGGAGGAAAAAAATACCTAATGTTGGTATAATAATTAAAAGAAGGTAACAGTTTTTTCCCTCTCCTGAAAAACTTTGCTTTCTGGGCTTAGTTAATTTGAACAGCTAGCCTTCAATATGTTCATCACAACTCGAAATTAAAAACAAAAAAGAAATATAACGATATGAGTGGCTGGCGACATACTTGGGCGACCATCATCCTCTCAATGTACAGTTGTGTAGTGACGACGCGCTGCAACACGCGTTTAGAGTACACGCGGAACTCATCCAGCTCTCTCTGAACACGTAAGGCTTCTTGACTGTCTCCCTTCTGCATCAGATACACAGCCGCCTGGTCCAAGTACTCCATCCTGTGTCTCTTGGTGTGCACTTCATCCTCAATGCGCTGTGGATTGGATTGAAGATGAAATTTGGGATGCAAGCTTTTTTTTTTTTTTCGAATCAAGAATTCATACCATTGCCAGACACTACTACAGCTCTTTTTGATTGATAAGTATAAATGTTAGTTTTTCTTTGATGTAGTCTTATAGCTGAAGAATATCAAAACTAACCACCTACACATGAAGAGACTAGCCTCAGCTTCCCCAAATTCACATGAAACTGCACATCGTCCTTGAGACTGAATGATGATGAGAATGTGACCTACTTTAGACTCTTTTACATAGTGATAATGGATGTAAGTGTTGAGCTAATGACCAGAGATGATGTCGGTTTGAAATGCAATTTGAAAAGCTAATCTTGGGAGTATGATATGTATTTTGCAAAGATGGAAATAAAGAAAATACAAAATACAAAGTCATTTTTCCACCCTACATTGTTCTGGCTAATTGTGATATATAAATTTTGTACCTTTAAAGTTTTGACTTACAATATGCTCTCGGTGAAAAAGCTGAGGGTAAATTATTTATAGTAGAGGTACAGATTACATTTTTGAAATGGTTATTTAGATGCACCAAAAAACCCCCAACCTACATGAGGAATCCAATAGAAAAATAATCGACTTATCACACTTTAACAACTCACCCTGATTTCATTGACCTTTGTTTCCAGATCAATGCTGGTCAGTTCTTGAAGATTTGCGAGCTGGGCGTCCACCTCAGTCAGCCACGTCATGAGAGACATGCGTGTTGCGTCAAAGTCTTGTCGGATGCTGGAGGAATGGCGCAGCGTCTTCATGATCTGAAATTGGAAGGCAAGGTATTTTTAATTCCATTTTCTTAAGTCATGGAAAACAATTATTTGCATTTCTTTGAGAAAGTAAGACAAAACCCCTTTATGTGGTTTCTTTTTTATGCCTCTATTGGCACAATTTAGAACTGATCCTGGGCTGAGAAAAAAAATAGATTAAACTGATTACATTAGAGGGCCTGTTTCATTATGAACACCATCTCTACAATCCATTATCAATAAACAAAAAAGTTTTAACAATCAAAGATGTAGGGTGCATGAAAATATCTTTCACAAGAATGATAATGAAAATGTTGAATAACTACTGTTTTGATGGGATGAAAGACAACATACGACTTTAATCACAAAGACAATATTTGAAACCCTTATCTTACCTCGGTGACACGAAGCTGCAGAGCATCCCACCGATTGTTCAGGTCGGTCATCGTGACCTTGAGCGAACCATCTGTGTCAGTTCGACCTTCTTTAGCGAGTTGTCTGTACTGTCGGTTGATGAGTTCAAGATCACCCAAATGGTCATGGACCTTCTTCTGGAGGTTCTGAAAAATAGCAAGTGCAAAAATTCTCAATAATATTCCTTACTAACCTTCCTTCACTATCAGATTTGAGGATACTTAGCTTTATGAAAGATGCAGCTTTTGAGTCCACAGTTTTTAGACTGCAAGAAGCATCTTCATATGTAGGGTTCCATTACAGATCACAATGTATGCAAAAATCTGGGCATTTTGAAACCTCATTCGCTCTATAAACTTATAAAAAGAATTGTTGTGAACATTTTTTTCTTTCTAAAAATGCAGCGTACCCCTCAAATATTTTGATGGTAAAATTGTGTTTTCTTTATATTTTTGTTTCCGGAGAACAAGTTTTTTTCCCCATTTTTCTCGATTTTGTAGTAAATGGATAAAGTGCATTTTGCCATAGAGGTCTCTATAACTTCATCATCATTAAGAATTCAGGATCAATTCCTTTTGAACCTTTTTTCAAATTCTAACGACTAACAAATGTAATATGAAGTGGAGCACAAGAATGAAAAAAGACCTCCAGAGCAGAATGTTAGCTTGTGTCAAGCATCAGTAATTCATTTGTTTTAATTGATTAAACTACTTAGAGAAAATACAACCATTATAAAAAAGGGAATGATACCATTTAATTACATGCTAAATCACTCACTCTTAACCCGTTGAGCCTTGCTATCCTAAACCTATCAAATCCATTACCTGAACCCCTTCGGGTTAGTAGCTCTATTTACTCCATTCCTATCAAAAATTCATCGCCCTTATTTCTCCTCTTTCTTTGCTTTATATGTTACTTTCTAGTAACACCACTAATCTTAGGCACTCATGTAACCTAATTTCATTGCAATTGCCGAAATACTCTTACTAAAACTAAAGCTAAAAAAAATCTAAGGCAAGCACTTGGTATGCAGAAGGGCAACGCCGAAGGTAGCATATACTCAGGTGTGTGGTAAGATCTGTAGGGTTGGTTTCTGGTGCCATAATCAAGCCAATAGTGGAGTTATGAATGGAATTCTATGTTTTTATTGTTTTAGCAAGAGTTTTACAGCTCTTGCAATGCAATTAAATTATATATATAAGTGCCGAAGATTAGAGGTGTTACTAAAGAGTAAGGAAGAAAGAAAAGAATGAGTGATAAGAACAGTGGACTTTTGATAGGAAAGAATGAGCCAACCACACCAGATCACCCTCTAGCCACCCACATTCTATGGTTCATACCTCATATTTCCTGATCTCCTCTTTGGCAACTCTGATGTTGGGCACCTCTCCCTCATGGTGGCGAACTTCACTCTCCGTCTCTGTCAGCCAGTCAGAGAACTTATGACAATCCTCGCGGAATATCTCCCACATTCGCCAGGTTTCCTCCACCCTAGAAAACCACGTACACAGACTTTGAAACATTCACTAACGAAAATGATCGTTTTTGCCATGAAAAAAAAATTGGTGCATCTAGTCCGATGATCATTCAATTTATTAAAAAATTTTGGCTCTCAAGTCTACCTGTAACTTTTCCTAAGTCTGATGATACACTGTAATGTAATGACTATAAACAAGCAAAAACTGAGACTAAAACACAGAATGTTTGTTTGAGTAGAAAAAGCACATCTGCACAAAAATGGTCATTCAGAATTCGAAAAGAGTAAGACAGTAGCACCCTCCAACCACCTGCAGAATTAACTGAAGATATGAAAATGAGTGCCGGGAACAAAAAGAAGAGCAGAAAAAGGAAGAAGACGCACTCACAAAGACGCCAAGAACAGTTGCGACAACAACAAAATGCAGCACTGACCTTGTGCGTCGCTGGGGGGACAAAGAACAAATATTCCTCCATCTCTTCTCGAGGTTCCGCATGGCGTGTTGTAGGGCATTGAATTCCGTCTCGGTGGGACACGCGTCGGAATCGTGCAGCAGCACCTCACACAGGTTCAGCACGGATGACACACCGGCGCTGTGTCGCTCAATGTCTTCTTGTAGCTCCTGCAAAGCAAAATAGAGAGGAGTTTACATCAATGCATTATAAGAGAGTGAGAAAAAGTAAAAGGCCATCCTAATTATACTTTATTGAGTAAAAAAGCAGCAAAAAACCATGCCTTCTTGGGATATAAACTGAATCATCTTTGAGATTCTTTAAGATGAAAGAACAAAAGTCAATTTTAATTGATTGATATCATTTTAAGATTTCACACTGAATTTTAATAGTCTACCTTATTTCAAAAACTGACATTGTAGTTAGAATATGACTAATTATACAAAACCAGTGTTGCATAAGTCAACAGAAAATGATCAATCTTTTTTTAGAGAGGTTTTAGTTAAATTTTTATATGAGCTTTATAGAACTTGCAACACAAATACATTACACAAGTGCTAAATGTTAGAGGCGTTACTAGTGAGTTACAGTTACATGCAAAGAAAAAAAGGAGGAGAGAAAAGGATGAAAGACGTTTGATAGGAAAGAAGGAGCAAATCACATCAGAGCATCCACCAGCCACCCACACAAGAAAGTTTTGCCACTAAATATTTGGGTCTATAACTACAGCAGATTAACAACAGACATATGCTCAATTGTTTCTAAAGGAAAAAAGGAGGTCGACCAGAGAATAATATTTAAACTCAGTTGTTTATAGTGAAAAAAAGGAAGTCTACCAGAGAATATGTCTGCTCAGCTGTTTGTAAAAAGAAAAAGAGGTCGACCAGAACAAACATTGCTCCTAGCTTACAAGACAACTCTTAGTAGGTAAACAGTTTACCTGTGTGTGGTGCAGCTTGGACTGGATCTCTCGCAGGTTGCTGTCTCGGTACGAGATGACCTCGGTGAGCTCTTCCTCCACTTCCGACAACCAGCGGCTCAGGTTCTTCATGCTGGTGTCCAGTTGTTTCACAGCCAGTACTGTCTCCTGCAGCTTGCGTTGTCTTTTGGAGGACAGAGAAAGGATATCTTAGCAGCGACAGGGTGGATGGTCAATTGTTATTTTAAAAAACTCTCATTTACACAATTTATGGCACATAAGAAAATGATCCACCACCCTCTCTCACTCTGTCTGTCTCTGTCTGTCTCTCTTTCTTGTCTCTCTTTGTCTCTGTCTCTGTCTGTCTCTCCTTATTCTTTCTTTCTCATTTATATTTAGTTTACATAAAAATAAGACAAATGCATACTCTCGCAAATAAAGACCCAAAGTAATGTATATTCACACTTAAAGTAAACCCCCCCCCCATAAAACAAACAAACAAACAACAATCTCAAAATTTAAAAAAAAGATCCCTGCCTGTGACTTTTTTTTCGTTCCAACAACAAAAGAAAGACGTCTGACTGCAGACATTTCAGATCCTAATTTTTATCCCAACTGTTCGTTCACTAAAGAAATAAAATTCTTACCTGAAGTCCATCACAGCAACAAGGTGCTGCCATTTATCCTCTAGTCGTAAGATCTTTTGTTCAATATCTGAGGATCGGACTTCACTACTGATCTTCATCAGCACTTTCCCTTGATCGATGACTTCATTCTTCTCCAGTTCTTTCTCCATCATTTCTTCCTTGTACTCCTGTGACATACCAGACAGAAAAAATAAAGTTTAAAAATATATATTTACATAAATTAAACTCAGCTACAAAAAAGTATTAGTATCTGGTTCTCATAAGCTTCATTAAAATATGGTCCTAAGACATACACAGTATTTTTATTCAAAAGACACTGAGGAAAAAAAACTCACAGGTAAATGTTTTCTCATAGGCTTTTCCCATTTCCGGGTGGTAAAACAAAATGACGACATGGACAAATCCTGTATGACTACTGTACGAAACAGCTTTTTGAGTTTAAAATGACGAAAATCCAAGATCTCAACTTACCGTTTCAAGTTTATTCAGCAAGTCCTCAACATGTAAATCTCGGTTGGATGTGACCCGTATTTCCATATCTTCGATCCAGTCCATTAAAGACCGCATGCGCTCTCCCAGATTTGTCCATCTGAATAAAATAGAGAAATATATAAGTCAGAAAAACTGAAAACGCAAAGTGTGAGTAGAAAGTTATAGTGTGTCTGAACTAAAAATTAATTGTTGCTTCCAGGATTAATCTGTAGTACATTATAGCATATATACATAAACAGCATATTAACCACTTCTTTCTCAAGGTTCACAAAATTGAAAGAATAAGAGGCCTATAATAATATGCCAGGACAACAGCCCTATTTCTCTGCGAGTGGAAAAACAGATGAACTTTTAGTCCTTTAGAATACCACCACATAAATTTGGTAAAAATGAAAACATTCAAAAGAATGATTTTTGTCAGTGATGTAGGCAAAGATAAAACTAAAAGAAAAATGGAATAGATTTCTTCATGAGAATACTTTCCCTATGGACAACTAACAAAGGAAAAATTATTCTCTTTTTGTTTTCCACATTCAAGGAACTTAATTCACAAAAGGGCACATTGGCAAAAAGTAGAATACTAAGAAATGTATTATGTCAACGGGTCTGTTTGTTTTGAAAGATCAAATCACCACAGTGATGCCACACATGAAAATACTTCTTTCCAGCAACAAGGCAAAAACTGCCCTCTTGAGAAAGAAGAACAACTAGAAATTTACACCTCCTCACCTAAACATTGCCTCACTCAGACGTTGCTCTCGAATGAGTGTCTGGTGCCGGAGCTCCTCCCACTGTTTGTTGAGCAGACGGATTCTTTGATGGAGCAGGTTCATGTCCTCAGGCTGCACTGAGCGACCCAGCTGCTTCTCGCGAGCCAACAAGCTCTGACGTTTGTCTTCTGAATTTAGGAATGAAGTGGCAATGTCCTGGAAGGTAAAAAGAAAAGATAATTAAAGACTTTGCAGGGATATTTCCTTAGAATATTTAAATATTATTGTAGTTTTAAAAAAGCAATATAATATGGATTGGCACATAGTCAAAGGAAAAGTAGAGGATAAAAAACCCAGCCAAATGGAAAGTATAATAAAGCACCAAGTTGACTTCATAATATTAAAACGTGAAAATGACAGCAAAAATAGCAGATTCTACCCGATGGAAATTAATTTCACAAGTTGGAAATCAATTTCAAATAGAATAAGAGCTATTGAACAGGTTGAAGGGATACATTCAGTGCCAAGATCATGCCAGCAGCAAAATTCAGTTTAACCTTTTTACTAAAATAATAAATAAAAATCGGGGAGGACTGCCAGACTTTCTTTAGTTTAGCCTTATTCCTGATTTAAAGAGATTGTTCAAATAGCGAAGAAAACAATTGGGGATTCTGTTTTCTTCTAGTTCACTGCTGTTTCCCAATTAAACATGTTTGGTTTAAGTTGATCCCACTGTATTTCTAATCTGTTCCAGGAAAACTGTGGTCATCATTGTTACGTTAAGTGGATGTTAAAATTATCCAGAAAGATGCAAGCTTTATTGTGCAGTTGTGCTGTAAACACATCAACTCTTAAAAACAGAATAAGGAAGGATAAAAAAATGAAGTAGGCAGAAATCAATATCTACCCTGCATTTGTTCATGTCGGCTTGCAATGTGTCGTAAGTGGATGGCAGTGGGGCGTGCAGGAACTGTCTGATCTCCTTCAACCAGTTCAGGATTTCCTCAATGTCTTCCTCTCCATCCTGCCACTGTCGGTGGACACTGTCCAGTCTTGACCGGTGGTCATCCAGGGTTCCAAACACTTTGTACCAGTCACGTTGCAACTGATCCAATGTATTCTGATGAAATGATTAAAAGAAAAAGTTTTGTAAATATTTTTATCAATATTTTATTTGTCAAATCCTTTTCAAATTAAGTAATTTAATCAATTCTAAGGCAAAGTTCTGTCATTGAAACTTTTTAACTAGATTGAGAAGGATAGTTGTAAAAGTGGTGCTTCCGTCAACACAACTTGGCTAATCTAAGAGATAAGACGCTATTATCGTCCAGCCAGCCTTCATGACACCCGACACCCAAGACAGTCACCGGTAATAATAATAATAATAATAATAATAATAATATATAGCATTTGTATAGCGCACATCCCCACTCAACAGCAATCTCTATGCGTTTCACAATCTATACTATTACCCCAGCAGACCTGGGAGCATTCTGAAACAACCTCAACTTCCCGGGAAGCATACAGTGCAAGCTGAAATTTATAGGTGCTGAAACACTAACGACATACTGACAAGATCTTTCGCTGTCTGTGGCCAGCTACCCATTCCCACCTGGGTGAAGTGAGGAAAATTCATGTAATGTGCCTTTACAAATGACCATTTCCGTTATTTTTCTATCGTAATGACACTGTCCAAGATATCCACCTGCCAAAGCAATCACTTTGATTCTTGACAATCAGTGGCCATCTTGGACAAACAGTATTTGAGTTGATATGAGGATACCATGCCCTCAAGGACGCGCAGATGTAAAGAGACATTACCTTGATCTCTGCAGCTGCTCCAGTGTCGGCACGAGGCAGCAAGGCGTTGCCCAGGTCATGAACTTTGCTGAATATGTTCTCCTGCAGCTTGAACTCGTACTGTGTGGTCTGAGAACAAATAAACGAGTACAATGTCAGCAAACTCTGCAAGCATTCTAAGCCCAGAAAGACAATTTTTTTCAGGAGAAGAAAGAGAACTATTTCATTATAAAAACAATTTTACCAACATTCTGTATCTTTTGTTGCCTTTTCAACATTTAGAATCTGAATTTCCACAACATTTTTCTCAAGCACTTGCAATGGATACCATACATGAAGAAACTGCAATTTTTTTAAATTAAAAATTTTGGGCTTAGTACATTGGAACAACTTGCTGCCACGTGTGCTTAAGGTTTATCATTATTACATCAACTTGTGAAGCTCAGGAATCTTCAGATTTTCAGATCTTCAGTTTGAAACTTACTCATCACAAGTAGAATTTCATTATAAGCCTTGTCCTTTTCTTCATTTTCCTGCTAAAAGGCCCCAGTCATATTACTGCAATATAGTTCTTTTAATTTTTCAGAGCTTAGGGTACCGCTACTGATATTTCTGCACATGGATCTAGAAACAAAACAATATTACAGAAAGTTCAGAACATTAGAAAGTTGCTTGGTAAGGGACCATATTTTGTTTAAAGCGAGAGAAACCCTGTGCTTTGCTAAAGGAAACTATAAATCCAATAATCGTTTCAAAAAGCCGAAAACAAAGATTCACATAAATAATAATAATAATATATAACATTTATATAGCGCATTTCCAAAAAAAAGTAGCTCAATGCGCTTTACATTGGAATACCCATTTTTCAAATATTTTTCACATATGGGCAAACTTTTTGCATCTGGGGTGATGCAGATTTTCTCCCAATTTTTTTTCTTTAAGCGAGACACACACATTTTTTTCTATCATAGTACTCTAATTAACCTTGAAAAAAAATGATTAGATATCTCAAAACTCACAATCATTAACTTCTTTTCATTCAGAAGTGGGCTACATTTTGGACCAATAAAGTGGATAGAAATAATAAGCTGATGAATGATTCATCAACTTTCTTTCAACTTTTTTTAAAGATTCACTCCTTTTCACCAGTACTACAAGATGTTTTCTTACCTTGACCTTCTCAGCAAGGTTCCTGATGACCTGCAGAGAGGCAGAATCAAACTCATAAGCCCTCATGGCTTCCTCCTTATCCTTGAGCCACATCCCCAGTTGCTCACTCAGAGAGTTGAACTGCTGCCATTGGCCAATGATGTCCTCAATAATAGCACGCCTCTGATTGGCTCTCCTCATGACACTCTGCCACTGCTCGGTCAATAATTGAAGCTTGTGCTGGAACTCTTCTTTGTCTTTCACCTCTCCTGCACGCATCATTTTTTGCCCATCGCTGATGATGGCATGAAGGATCTGCTGGCGGCTGTACATCTCATTTTCAAATTGCTGGAAATGAATGAAAGTACATGGATACAAAATCTATAAAACACCTAAATACCATTTTATCGTAACTGATCTTGCATTATTGATGTCATATCGTCAATCATGTCCATGGTATTGGGTGCACTGGCTACCCCCCCCCGCCTACCTTCTCTTTGATGTTCAGTTACAAAACAAATGTACCCTATATACTGTGTTGATGCAGTTTTATGCTTTTAAGTAAAATAATAGAGATAAGAAAGCTTCCCAATTCCACAAAGTAATAAAAGCAAAGAAACAGAATCAGTCATTTCCGTAGGTTTTTTGTAAAGTTGACTTTATTGGACTAGCAATTTTGCAACAATATCATCAACATGCACTTGGTTTTCTGAACCCTTTTCTTTTTTTTCTTTCTCCAAGATCAAAAGAACTTCATTACAGTACAGAAATTGTTGGTCCATGTTCTGTATTGCCGTTTGTCAAATCAAATCACACAAACGTCCACTCATTTTCACTTCAAGCAACAAATATCTAAAACATGTCTAGTTTCATAACTTGCTTATGCGGAGAAAATGGAAGAATATCTGAGAGACACATGTAGTATTTACAAGATGAACATATTCAGTCGTATTACAATTTACATATTACTTGAGTCAAAGCTGCCCATGAACTCCAATGTTTATTACTGTTAATCTCATCACTGACTACTTAAAAGTAATTTTATTTATCTGTCATATAACTTTTTACTTTCTTTTCCTCAGTCTCAATCCTTTCTTAATGCATCTCTCACTGTTTATATCGGGCATACAATTATATCATCGACCAAGGTCACTCACCTTACACTTCCTGAGCTGATCAATCAGATCGGGCAGATTTCCTTTGATCTCTTTGGCCAAATCTTGCTCAGTCTGTGCTAGGAAGGCTATCCATGTCTCGCACTTGGACGTATAGTCCTGTTGTACAAGCACGTCGCTCTGCAATGACCTTGACCTATCACTTGCGTCCTCGTAGAGCCGTTGCCACTTGTGGTTCAGTTCCCGTAGGCGTGTAGCGTCTGCCTCATTGAGAGCCAAACGGTACCTAGACGGACAAAAGATATCATTTACAGTTCTGTCACTACAAAATATCAACATTTAACAAATGGTGAAACAAGTAGTTATGCTTTCCTAACGTAGCAATCTCTGTGGCAGGTTCTCTCCCTCACACAAGTGCTACTGAATTAAAAATAAGGTAACACTGAAGTCAGTTTTTATTGAATACTGAAATGACTAGTCCTGGAAATTTTGAAAGCATTTCTGAGACTTGAAAAAGAATAGTTATTTTTTTAGGTAAGTGTTTTTTGGCGCTCGCAACTGCATAAGGTCATATGAGCACACAAGACCCATTAACATTTTTCAGTTGGAAGGAAATTTTGAATTTTGAGTGGGTGGCGGCCAAAGCCAACTCTTAGGATTTTAGGACCACCAAGGGATCTTTAATGTCCGCAACCTGCACATGGGAAAGAATAGTTCATGACTGATAATAGTTGTACAGCGAATACAGCATGCTGTAGAGCATGGATCTGCACTTTATAAATGCAGTTCTTCTTCTTCTTCTGATCATTATTATTAATATTATTATTATTACCATCATTATTATTAATATTATTACTATGATTATCATTATCCTTATTATTATTATCCTTATTATTATTATCATTATTATTATGCACTAACCCCAAGTCATTGACTGCGTCCAGTTTGCTCATGTTGCTGCTGAACTGGTACAACAACGTCTGCAGTTCTTCCAGTCTCCTCTGGAGGACATGCTGCTCGGCTGCCTTCGTCGGGTCGGCTTGTCTCAGTGTGGTCTCAGCCTGGTCCAAGAACTTCTTCACAAGCTGAGAGTACATTTGGAATGAGAATGTCAATGATTATTGGCTTGCAATGAGAACTTTTACATAATTTGATATGATATGAGAATACATACGAGTACAGAGATCCTTTCCTCACTAGTTTCTTTTATTATGTTGACCATCTGATGAAACTATATGAGTGTTAGGCATCTCAAAAGCACTTGTACATTCAACCTGTCACAACATACTGAAGTTGTATAAAAAAACTTATTCCTGAGGGATTAGCCTAGCTTTGGGAGTAAACCTGTGACAGACTAGTGCCTTGATCTAGAAGCTATCTAGTATCCCTTCTTTTTGTTTCATGCAAAGGAAATCGGAGTGGACCTTAAAGGCCTCAGAGACCAAGTAGGAACTTCTAGTGACAGGCACGAGGAAAAACATAAATGACCGCAGTTGGAAGAGCATAAATAATGGAGACAGGAATGCCCCTAAGGTTTTGTAGAAATACTTGAAAATTAATGAAGTTTAATTTGCTAATAAAAAGACAGTTAATAGGTATAGCTAATATAGGGAAACAGAACATAAAGGCTTAGAATAATAACTGTTCTTTTGGTGAAAATAACTGACATAATGAAAAAAAAAAAATAAAAAAAAATAAAACCCCGGCGTCCCAGGGAGACATTCTTTTTTATTGGCTTTAGAGAGCAAAAAAAAAAAGAAAAGGGAATTATATTTAGGAGCTTTACCTCGAATGCATTATTGAACCTTCCCAGCATGGACAGATCTTCGTTGAGCGTGCCGATGTGCTGGGAGAGGATCTGTCTGAGCGCCAGGAGTCTCTGCTCCAGGGCAGACTGCCGGGACGTGATGATGACGATAGTGGATGGGCTCATGCTCCTGGTCAGCTGGTCACTCAGCCGGTACAAACTGGACACCTGCTCCTGGACATTGTCTAGCTCCTTTTGTAGTTTCTATGGACATAGCAAAGGTCAGAGAGCAAAGGTCAGAGAAATTTAGCTACCAAAGGTCAGAGAGATTTAGCTAGTTTCTAGGGTCATAGCAAAAGTCAGAGATATTTTACAACCAAAGGTCAGAGTGGTATTTAGCTTATTGAAATAAAGTGAAAATTACCTGTCAGACAGTAACCATAACTATTTGCATTGTGTTGAATTCACCTGTCTGAAAGAATTTGAGACTTTTTGTCAAAGCTACAAAAGTTTATACATGTGATAATCTTAGATAAATGGCCTTTATAGCATGTTTCACGACACAAACACTTCATGCAGTGCTTTTTAATTAAAATTAAAAAACAAATTTCGAAACAGTGACCGTCATTGCATCATTCAGAGCATTTGTCTTTTGATAAAGCGTCTGACTCCAAATATGTTTTACTAAATTCCTAAAATCCTTGAAATTTCGGAACTCTTCTAATTCACAAATCATTCAGCTTCTACTACCAGGTTATACAAATTTATGTATAGGCACAAATTAGTACATAATAAGCCTTACTTTGCTCTTGGAGAGAGACTCTGGCCTCTTCAAGGGGTCATCCCGCATATTAATGAGGTCAGTGCAGAGGGCTTCCTTGGTATCCAGCCAATCGCGGATTCTGTTGTATTGTGTCTCATACTCTTGCCACTGACGTAGACAACCCTCAAATTTGGCACACCTGCATGAACAGAACTTTCGCGTTAACAGGCATGCAAGAGGGTTTTTTTTTTTTTTCAAACAGTCAATGAAATAGTATTAAGTATCAGCAGACATATCATAATAAAAATGGTAGAAAGTATTCAGTGCTATCTACATAAAGAAATAAAAAAAAGATAACCCAGTCTCTGTATCAATCACATAATACCTGTATGTTAGTCTGGACAAAATATAGACAAGCTATTAATGAAATAAATTTCTCTTTTAAAAATATTAGCTTTTGAGCTTCTCTCCCTACACTGTCAGGTACATAAGGCAGAGAGCAGTCGACGCCACGCTTTTCTGTCCCTGGCCACCTCCTTTCGGCAAATCCAGGCCCTGGGTGATTGCCTCATCGCTTATTGTACCTCTAAATATTAGGGAGCTTGGGAAAAAAGGAAGGGTGGCGTGTGTGTGTGTGTGTGTGTGCATGCATGTGTGAGTGTGTGTGTGTGTGTGTGTGGGGGGGGGGGGGGGTAACTGCCCCCAACAAACCTAATCTGCTATAAATTTGGCACTTAACTCAAAAACAAAAGTAAACATCAAAATCAAACAACTCTCTCACCTGTCGGAGAGGTCAGCCTCTAGCCGTTTCCACTTGGCCTGGATGTCGGCCACAGTCTTCTGGATGTCCACCTGTACAGGGGGCTCACACACCTGGCGTAGCTGACCGGCCAGGGTGGAGAAGGACTCCAAGTGACCAGCATGGTTCCTCAGTTCTGACTGAAGGCCCTTTGAAAAGTTATTTAAAAAGCGATTTTGGTATCAAGCACTGATTTTCAAATACAGTTTCAATTGACAAAACGGTCTAATCATTTCTATAAAAAGGAATAACATCAGATTGGTTTTGACATGTTTCAGAAGCATTTTTTATTTTGATAAGGAAAGTATATTTCCTTGCCTTTGGAAATTTTAGAGACCAATAGTATTCTAAGAATTAAATTCATGAAGATTCCTCTTTTAGACATAGACATTTTCTCCCCTAAAACCAACATATGTCAAGTGATAAAAATGATCCATTGACAGATGGAAAAGCAGAAACAGAAGCAATCCCTGTGATTGCCTTCAAATCCCACAGCATCCCATTTAATGTCCACAATTCACTCTCCACTGTCACAAAAGGAATCATATAAAAGAAGAAGGAAGATAAGATAAGACAAGATAAAATTAGATAATAAGATTAATGGGAACAAATTAATACAAGACAGGAATCAAAGCACTGGAACTCACACAATCAACATGCAGCGAAATCTATAAGCATACACCACCTCTGATAGCTACTGACAAAGATGGTGGGCATGACACAAGATTTTTTTTCTTCTGTAGTGAAGTTTATTGAACACACAATGCGGAAAGAAGCATTGGAAAATTTTTAAACTACAGGCAAGTTTGATCGAAAGGAAGGCAGAGGCAGACAAAGGGAAAACATACTAGACAAGTTGACAACATGGCTGGGAACAGCAAGAACGACAGACAACTTCGCTGCAACACAAGTCAGAGTGAAGTGGAGGTCCATGATTGCCCACGCCAGTCGGCAAGGCACCGGATGACGATGATGAGTGGAGTTTATCTAGTATTAGAGTAACAGAATAATCTCTGAATTTTTGTTAGAACCCCCCTCCCAAATTTTTAAACTGTAGCCCAACACACTCACTTTCAGTTTGTCCACTTGAGCTCGCAGGGTGGAGATGTCGCCGCCCACAAGGGTGTAGTGGTTGAGGGCGTACTCCGTCTGGGTGAGCACCTGGTTCAAACTGGCCAGCTCTGTGTGGTAGCGCGCCCACTGGCCAAACATGTCTGGGGGTGGGACAGGATTGAAGGGAATTAAAAATGAATGGTAGTGTCTGTGCAACAGTGGAAAACTAATATGGTATCAAACAGTAATAATGAACAAACCAAACTACCGCTACAGCTCAGTTTTAGTAAGAGTCTTAGGGCACTTGTAACACAATTAAGTCATATAAGTGCCGAATCAGCTACATCAGTATTGCAAGATTTAAAAAAAAGAGGGATTCTTGAAGCAGAGGTAAAAGGCAAAAGAAGAAGGGGGAGATCTAAAGGAAGATGGTAACAGGACAAAGAAACCTGGCATGGCTCCAAAACAACTCAGGCACGCAGAATGGCAAAAAGACAGAGTGTTTTATTGTAGAAAGATCCGAGAAGCAACTCCTGACTACTGGAAGAACTAAGAAGAAGATCCCTCAGGAACCACAATCAGATCACTGCTTCATCCAATCTAAGCACACACACACACCTGTCAACAAATTCTCCAGCTGCCGGGTTTGCTCCTCCAGTTTCTTCCAGTTCTCATCCAGAGCGGTCAAGCTGTCTTGGACAGACCGCTGGCATCCTGGTGACTCCCGACTCAGTTCAATGAGCTGACTGCCCAGGGAGTGGACAGAGGACAGGTCACTCTGCTTGGCCTGTAGCTGCTGCTGGAGGGCCTGGGAGACACAGTGCGGGACACAATCAGTTTACAGCTCAAAGTTTTCTTCTTTTAAAAACTTCATAACAAGTACAGAAACTAAAATGAACACAAAGAAAAAAAAAATCCCTTTCCAGAACCCCCCCCCCCCCCCCCCCAAAAAAAATGAAGAAAAATCCAAAGCAGAATCATAGATAAACCGCGCTGACAAAATGAGTTACTTCTCGGATTCAGGCCTTATTGAAATAGATACAAAATGCTTGTAGGAGAAGCTTTTACAATTTATAAGTGTATGAAATAATAAAGGCATGTAAAAGTTAAAGAAAATGGCTTCAATAGAAAATCTACAAATTTGATCCTAGTGTCGATTTTTGGCCAATATCTCCACTTATGGACTGTGAGAAGTAACTCATTTTGTCAGCACGTCTCACATTGGGTAGATCTCATTTTTTAAAAATAAACTAAAGAAACGAAAACCCTCCTTTCTTGTGTTCCACTCAAACCATGTTGTAGTCTGATATTTTAAGCAAAAATCTAGTTTTCCTTTTGATCAAAACAAAGCAAAAGAAGGTCCAACAATAACAAAAGCATTCTAAGTGATCTACTCACCTTGCAGTCTTTCAGCGTCTGCTTCACTCCGACCTCGTGACCAATCAGCTTGTACCGTTTGATCTTGTCTTCCTGTTCACGTAGCCAAAATTGTAGTCGCTCCAAAGCCTTCTCATAATCGCCCCATTTGCTTTGCAGACTCTGTCATGGTTGAAGAAACAGCAGGAAGTTATCATTCAACCCTTAAACTTTTGGCACAAACACCCCCCCCCAGCCCGTCAAGTGGTTTTGAAACAGTATCAAGTCATTCCATACAAAGAACAGATCTATTGGAAGTGCAGATATCACAATTTTGAATAAACAGTGTCGATTGTATGAACTGGCTCACCTCTCTTGAAGTCTGATTTATATTTCATAGCATGTAATTATCCCCTGTATAAACAAATGTTTCTACAAAAGATTTTGAACTTCTTTTCTAAATCAGTCTAACAATACATTATACAGGAACAACATACCGTTTAATTCTCAGAGAATTTACTCTTTTTACTTTTTGAAAAACACTGTAAAAAAGACATCCTCCAAAGAACTCAGACGTACATAATTTATAAAAGGTAATAAGCCCACATCTCTGATGGTATAGAAAGAGTAAACTAGACTTCAACACATTGTTTTTATGTGTCATTTTGATGAAAATCGGCACTAACATGACTTTGAGACTGAAAACATTTTTAAAGCCATAAAAACAGAATGCTAGTCTAGAACATGCTTTATTTCCTTTTGCGGAAACAAATTAAAACATTTTTCAAGTAATTTATGTACTTTTGACCTTCAGTTTTTTCCCCAGTTGCTATATCCCTATTATAATCTCAAAAACTTTTTTAATTCAATAAAAAATAGGGCAAACATCGCCAGCAGAAGACTACTGTAATTCCACCTGCCATACCTCAAGAGTGGCCAGCCTGTCGTTGACATCTTTGACCGCCTGCTTCCACTTTTGGTTGAGGTCCCCCAGCTTCTCGGCAAACTCCATCTTCTCAGCATCAATGTCGACCTCCTCTGGCTGTGGGGCCAGCACCGACTGGTTGACAAAGTCCAAAGTCATCTGTTTGCTGGAAAGCTCAATCTTGTAACCCTGGAGGAAGTAACAATAAGAAAATTGCAAAAAAGTTGTTGAAGTTAAAGTTGAGGGTATTATTGTATGCTGTGACTGGTCATTGTCTCTTAATGTAGAGTTGTGGCACAAAAATGGTTCGCAATTGAATCTACATAATAATGGCTACATCTTGGGAGCTGATTGTTATTCCTGATTCTGGAAAAAATTAGGATATAGTAGCTCGGAAAGGAAAACAGCCCCCCCCCCCCCGCCCAACCCCCAAAACAAAACAAAAGAAACTACCCCCTCCCCCCAAAAAACCCCCCAGCCCAACAAAAAACACCAACCAAAGTCAATCATAAATCGTTACAAACATGGAAAGAAAGACTACAGTATCTAGAATTTTACTGGCACTTATGGAATTGCATAATCGTTTATTACTAACCTTATACTTCTTCACCAACAGCTCAATGTCTGCCACTTTCTTGATTCTCTTCTTGGCATCTTGCTTCAGCGCTTTGTTAATTTCCTCTATCCAGCTGGTTAGCTCGGTCAGTGCCTGTCGTGAGGGCATCACTTTCATTTGTGCCTGGTGCAAAAATTCCTCTGTCTCACTGATGCCCTTCTCCAGCTTTGTCCATTCCTCTTCGTAGCCGCTAAGACGGTTTGAGAGACCACGGGTGTCGTAGTTTTTGTTCTGCATTAGCTGGTAGCCCACATTGAGCACACGAGTCTTCAGCGCCACCTGACCCTCCACCTCTTTCTTAAACTCCTGTAAAAATGAATTTGTTGACGACTGTATTAGTTTTCTTTTCCGTTTCAACATGCCTCTCTGTTGTAGAAACGTAGTAGTTAACTGTATCAGTTTTCTTTTTATCTTAAGAAGTACTACATCAATCACCTTTTCTGCATGTAATTATTTTCTAATTTGAACCTTTTTCAGGAAATATATTCTGTACAACTCATACTGCTTTCTAGGTCCCTTAAAATTTTCAAGAACATAAAATTATGATTTAGAAATACTCCGATTTCAGTAAAATACGCAACTTCCATTTTTAAAAGTTCACAATATATTAGTGTTAGTCTATAACAAGAGAGACACATACATAGACCAAGTCAATGCATTCGTTATCAGAAACAGACTTGATAAATTAGACACCAACTTGAAGAGTAGTACAAGAACTTTACAAATCATATCCCTCAATTCCAAAATACCTCTTTCAGAATGTAGTTATTAAGGGGCTACATTTAAATAAAAAGAGGGTAAGTCACAGATCTATCGTGGATGCATCTCTAGAAAGAGTTTAACATATGAAACACTATCATACATACCAGAACTTTCTCCACCTTTGTCCGTATAGCTGCAATATTCTGCAGATCTGTGGCGGAGAGTTGCTTGAAGCTGGTCAACTTCATCTTGGCGGCACTGAGCCATGAGGTCAACACTGCAGCCTCCTTCTCAAATATGGACAACTGGTCACCCAGGGTCTCCGTCCTGAGTGTAGATCAAATATAGTTTTTAACGGCCACGATAAAAACTGTATAAATGGAGAATGCTATACCCTAAGTAAAATTCAAAATTCAGAATCTCCCATAAAAATATCCCTCTCACACCTGTAAAATAGTAAGAAGCATCCTTACACCTTTCTTGATTCCAAACATATAATACCATGTCTCTCTTTTGGAGCATGTCAAGGAAGTCTAGATCTGTTTAGGGAGGGAAGTAAAATTTGGGACAGCTACTTCTTCTGTGTCTACTGCCCAGTCAAAGATGTACCATACATGCTGTTTTAAGATTGTCTGTCCATATGCAAAAGGGCATAGCAGTAGTAGGCCCTAAAGGCTACCAGGCAAGCTCCAAACAAGAGGAAAGATTAGTCCAGATAGATGGCCTTTGAAAGAACTGAGATGAATACACATAACTTAAAAAAATCCAATTGAACAAAAGATGGCTGGATCGAATTCATACTTTCATATGGTCTAGACTCTGAACCACAACAAAACTCTAGCATAAACACATTAAAGATCATTCTCTCAATTCCAAAGCTGAAATGATTAATTTCAGATTTCACTCAAAATCAAATTCCTCTTTTTTTAAAGACTAAATCCTATTGAGCATATTATATACGGGCATAGCAGGTTTACAGTCTTGCTTTCTGTGGGCCCATATGTATACCGCTATATATTAATGTTTTTGCTGTATTTTCTTATTCATAGAACCAACCTAGGTACAGATACCCTCTTGAATCTGGAAAGTCTTTCCATTCCATAAAAGCACATTTTCTTTCCTGGCACAAGCAAAGTTTTGGACAATTTTGAAAGAGCTGCTCATATCTTTTCTGACTTATCCATGGACTAGGCCAATTTACAGACCAATACCACTTATCCTAACAAAAAAAGATGGACAGTTTTAGCTGTGAATTCCATCCTGTTGTAAATATTAATGCACAGTGGCTGAACACAAACAAAGCTAGCACATTGGCAACGGAATGGTCTAGTGATCAAGACTAGGACACACGCTTTCATTGTATACAGAACGAACGGCTCTTATCTTATCAGTTGAACAGAGGACTGACTTCTCAGGTTGAAATTTAGGCCAAAGTCTTATTGTCCACAGTTTAGTACTGCTCAAGAATAGATATCAAAATGAGCAAAGGAAAGCATGAAAACGTAACAAGAATTCCTTAAACATGATTTTTTAAAAAACTTTCTTACAAACGAGTGCTTTAATTCAAATCATATATTGTGGAAGAGGAGAGAAAAGAAAAGTAATTCCGCATACCTTCTCTTGCCCCCTTATTCTATCTCTCCCCCCCCCTCATTGGAAAACAAACAAAACCTCCACCCACCCCCCCAAACAAAACAACACCTCAGCACCCCACCCTCCAAACAAACACACCTACCTTACTTTCCCTTCCTTTTTCAATTGAGCAACTATCTGAGTGTGAGCCCTTCACTCAGATAACACACACAGACATGATATAACAACCTCCTTAAATTCCAAAGGCACCAACAGAAAAGAGATGTGAGGGACTCACCGCTTCAGCTCGTGTGTGAGGTCAGTGTTGAGCGACACCCACTTCTCCGCCATGTCGGTGACAGCGCTCTCCAGCGCGGGACAGTTGACGCTGTGCAAGATTTGCTTCCCTTTGTCCACCACTTCAAAGACAGCATTCCTTTCATCACACAGCTCTGCTTGGAGTTGCTTGTATCTGAACAATAGACAATACAAGTTCAGTTCAAATACTTAGTTTGCATAGGTAGTTAGTTACCAGCATGCAATAAGCTCAAATCCTGAAACACTTGCATGGTCTAAATAAAGTCGAACCTGTTCTAATGGGAACCCCTCCAAGACAATCATCTGCTGTACAAGCGACCACTTCCAACTCCCCCCTTTGCTTTTTATCCTATGCTATAATGACACTGTCCAAGACATCCACCTGTCTAAGACAACTACTTTTCTTGTCAACAATTGCTGGCTGTCTTAGACAAATTTGACTATAATGTTACTGTTAAAAGGTTAAGTTTAGAGGTAAACTGTTTGTCTCTCTTGTAAGAGATAGTAAGTTCCAGTCCTCCAATAACCAAGATTTTACATGAGCTTTTCAACTATAATTTTCATGATTGCAAAGACTGTCAATGTGCTATGCCTCAAAGAAATAAATAAGGAACATCAAGTAGGCAGGCAGCACAAAAAACGCAGAACACTGTTATCTAAGCTTCAAAGACAAAAAACCATTGGCCAATAGCTGAAAGGTCTTACTTTGCCAGTTTGTCTTGTATGGTGGTCAGTGAGTCTCCGCTGGCGATGGGTCGAGGCACGCGGGACTCGAGAGAAGTCATGACCTTCTGTAGACGTACATGCTTCTCATCCATCTCTGTCCACTGGCGAGTCAGTCTTTCCAGTCTGGTTATATAAAATGAGTTAACATCAGAATTCTTAACATCATAATAAAAATGATAGTTATGATATTTTAATAGGAAGAGACAATTATGATAATGAATATGACTATAGTTGCAACAGCAGCAGTGAAAATGAAACAATAAATGTGACCAACATCCCTACCTCTTCATGTGAGCCCGAGGAACTTTACATAAGTAGCAGAAACACCAATGACATGTTTTGTTTTGTTTTAGTGAGTGTTTTACGACAATGACATGTCTGAGAAAATGAGAAATTGCGTGAAATTGAAGGGTAAAAAACCCAACAAACCTCTGCCAGAGCACCACATATTCTGTCTCTAGAATGACATAATCAGGGTATAGCCTGAAGTAAAGACTCAAGCAAAGTGAATTTGATGGTTTTACATTTTAGTACCAGCTGTATGGTACTTGCAACACAATTAGGTCATGTAAGTGCCAAAGATTAGAGGTGTTACTAGAGAGAAAAGAAGGAGGAGAGATAAGGACGATAGATGTTTGATAGAAAAGAAGAAGGAGGAAACGACTCCAAAACACCCGCCAACAACTCATAATTTGACTGTAAAAAGGTTGAAAGAGAGTACAAACTACAGACTACTCTTCACCAGACCAAGACGGGGACATGACTGACCTCTGTCCATGAAGACTGGCCTGGTCCACAAGTACATGCGTCAGGTTGCTAAGCGATGAATGTTGCTGCTGGTGCTGCTCTCGTGTCTTCGGGTCACTCTGACCAGCTAGAGCATCCAACATTGCCTTGTGGACTTCAAGGTCGCTGAAAAAGTCCTGGGGACACAGAATTCACTGTCTCTTCATGTATTGTAAAAACAAATGGTGATTTAAAAAAACCCACAAGTCTTTTCATTAGAAGGGAAACAAAATTTATCAGCAAAAACAGTTTCCCTCATTACTGATAAACCTTGAGCTTGTGCTAAATAAAACCCACATAACATTTTTTGCGCTTCTTTTCGCAGTTAGTATCTAATCATAGGAAAGAGCGGGAAAAAAGAAAGATGGATGGAATGATACCTTAAGTAGATGTACTAATTTCTCACAGTGAAACAAACTTAGACAAACTTATAAGTAATCCTTTACATACAAACAACCTTGCAGGGCCACAAAGTACATAACAGTAACTGTAACAAAAAGATCAGCCGCAAAAAGTCAACAACAGCAACATTCAAACACCTGAACGGCAGCGTAAAATACCTACATTAAAAAAACAAGAACCCACAAACACTAAACAAGATGCATTATTCCCAAATCCATATTCCGACAGAAACATCACTCACCTTGTGTGCAGTCAGCTGTTGTTTGAGATGGTTCAGGTCTCGGGCTGAGATGGCATCAGTTTTCAGTTTGTCCTGTGCAGTCTCGAGGAACTCGGAGTAGTCTTTGATCATCTTCTGGTACTGATCCTGTACTGACACAGAGCGCTGGAGGCTTGCCTTCTTCTCCATAGCCTGGAACACAAGTGAAAGACATGGTTGAATTTAGAGTGTGAAAAAGACACGATTGAATTTAGAGTGTGAAAAAGACATGGTTGAATTTAGAGTGTGAAAAACACATGGTTGAATTTAGAGTGAGAAAAAGACATGGTAAAATTGAAAGTGTTAAATAGAAATGGTTGAATCTGGAGTGTAAAAAAAGACATGTTTGAACTAAAAGTGTGAAAAAGACGTGAAAAAACATGGTTGACTTAGGACACTGTTCAGTCAAAGCTAACATTGAGTCAGAACAAGGACAGCAAACTTCTGTTATTTGTTGCTGTTACTGACGTTAAAGTTTAACACACTACTAGTTACGATGTAGGTCAATTGAAAGGCAGAGCACTCGCCCCTTCTTCAGGAAACTGGTGTTGGGTTCAGAGGAAATAAAAGGGGAAGGATGAAAACAATAGTCCAAACCCCACTTCCATTCAAATCTCAAACTTCCACGAGACAGATCAAACAAAACCAAACAAAAAAAATTCCTTACCCGTCGATGCAATTCCATGTAGTTGGCCTGCAGAGTGGCAAGCTCCGAGGGAAACACGCCCTTAGGATAGGCAGTGGTCAGGCTGGACTCTTGACCCTTTAGCTCCTCCAGCTGGCTCTCACACTTCTTGAGTTGAACCTCAATTTTCTAGAAGACGAAATGAATGGATGGTGAGCATCATGACACATAAATTTTCAGTTCAGAGAGATAGAGAGAGAGAGATAGAGATAGAGAGAGAGATAGAAAGAGAGAAAGAGAGAGAGAGAGAGAGAGAGAGAGAGAGAGAGAGAGAGAGAGAGAGAGAGAGAAACAAAGAGAGAGAGAGAGAGAGAGAGAAACAAAGAGACACCAGAGAAATAAAGAGAGAGAGAGAGAGAGAGAGAAACAAAGAGTAAGAGAGAGAAACAAAGAGACAGGGAGAGAAAAAGAGAGAGAAAGAGATAGAGAGACAATAGGAGAGAAAGAAAAAGATTGAGAGACAGTGACAGAGAGAGAGACAGGGATAGAGAGAGAGAGAGAAAGAGAAAAAGAGAAAGAAAGAGAGAGAGGGAAAAAAGTGAGAGGGAAAAGAGTGAGAGAGAGAGATGGAGAGGTAAAAGATCTCTTATCAGAAATACACATTAATTCAAACGTCAATGTACTTTGATAACCCAAACTTCAGTTGAAAGGAGGGCTTAAAACAAGAGAGCAAAGCTGACCTGATTATTGGACATGAGCTGATCCAAGGACTGCGTGGAGCTCGGGGCCAGCACCAGTTTCTGTGTGTCTTGCAGTCGCTGCTTCAGCTCGTTGACCTGGTCTCTGTACTGCCGCCACTGGCGGTCAGCGCTACGAAGGTCCTCCGCTTGGGACTGGGCAGTTTCTTCCATGATTCGAACCCTCTCGTACAGGCTGTTCAGGCATTTCTCCACCAGCTCGCGGTTAGCGGAGCCCGTGGATGTGAGCAAGTCTTCTGCCTGTTCGCTCATAGATGTGACTTCGGCCTGCAAGGATCGAATCTCCTTCTGCAACTTCTGTAATCAACAAAGTATATGACCATTGAGAGATAACTTGCAAAATCTGGGATTTTGACGTCAGGTTTTTAACCACAGCATTTTAAATATCATAAGTAGAATTATTATAATAATATTTTAGTCAGTTTAAGTACACTCTTGGACTCTTGAAACACAATAAGATCATATATGACCTGAAGATTAGAAGTGATACTAGTTAGTAATATACAAAGAAAAGGAGGAGGAGAGATAAGGATTATAGATGTTTCATAGAAAAGAAGGAGTAAACCACACCAAAGTACCTGCCAACTACTCGTATACTACTTTATTGATAATAAAGGTCCTGTATCCTCACACAAAGCAGCTACAGAAATCCTGATCTAGATCTATTTGTGTTAAATGTCAGCTGCTTACCTGTTACTGCAGCATAATCAGAAAAAAATTATTTATTTCCAACAATCTCTTCTTTATTTTATGAATAAATAATCTCTAAAAAGTGCCCACACACCTCATTTTGCCGGATGTGCTCCTCAGTGGTGGCCGGTACAGTAAACAGCTGTTGTTGAGCCAGATCCAGCCAGCCTGAGACGTTCTGAAGTGCGGACTGGGGAATAATGATAACATAATAAGGGAAGAGAGAGAAAAACAGATTGGTGTATAATAAGAATAATATATCAATAATAAAGATTAGTAGGCATTTGTATAGCACATATGATCCCCACTCGACAGTAAGCTCTATGCGTATTACAATCTATATCATTACCTCCAGTAAACCCTGGAACATCCAGAAGTATTCTTCACTATTTCCCAGGAAGTATACAGTGCAAGCAGCTGATTGATCGTTCAAACACTAACAAACTGACAAGATCTTACGCTGTCTATATGCAGCTTCACCTTTATGAAGTGAGAGAAATTTGCGTAAAGAGTCTTTACACATGTTTTCTCAGGGAAGAGAAAGAATACAGGAAACATCCTCTTCCTCCAAGCTTATATAATGTGCAGTGAAAAAGGACCCTGGATGGACGAAGGAATTTTGACAGACAGATCAGATCTGACCTGATATCTTTCAGTCCATTTAGATTATTTCAAAAATGAAATCTTCTGATCAGCATGTCTCAAATAAGAACTGGCAATCAAAAATTTTTTTTCAAAAAGGGAGTTCGGAGGAATAGTTAGGATGTACACATAGTGTAAGAGATATGGTGCAATAACCATCTTGAAAATCTCCTTAATAAGGTAACAATTCAATCACAAAAAAGACATACCTGGTACTGCTGCTGGAAAGTCAAAGCCTCATCAAGGTGCAGCTGCTTGACCTCCAGTTGACCTTGAAGGTCATTCCAGCACTCCCCTAAGTCACCCATGATGGCCTTGACCTCTTGTAACTGCCGAGCAGAGTCTGCATGGTGAGCCGGAGCATGTAGGGAGATCTTCACTAGTTCCTGTAATAAAGACGTTGCGGCATATTCATTAGTTGATATCATCATCATCAGACTTTCAAGACCTGTACCGGAGTATAGGCAACCAACAAGAGCTCTCCAGCTGAACTTCAGTTGATATTGGTTTCGATTAACTTCAATAGAAACTTAATATTACATCAACATTTTTCAAGTTTGAAGACCAATTACTTTGTTCCTTTTGGCGTGATCTCATGGTCAAACAAAATATATCCATATTGAGACATACTCCTTGATGATTTAATTATTCAGTGCTTTGTATGATATCAAAACTAAAGCTACATACCACGGTTCATAGTGTGGGATCATAATTGACATCCCAGTATAAAGCAGATATTAAAACAGTTAAGACCTGGTAGTGTTTCCAAAAAATATTTTATCCAAAGTTCAATGTTTCGCCCTCAACGGGCATCCTCAGGAACATTCACAATATAAATCCCAGTATCAGAGATGACATGCAGTGTTGCAGACTGTCAGGTGCATAACATTATCATTCTTATATTTCCATCTCCATCACAAAAAAGACTTAAAAAACCAAAGCCTTACCCCAGGTTTTCGTGTCCTGAGAATCGTCTCCAGGTTCTTTTTCTTCTTCTCCAGCTCTGAATGAAGTCGCTCCCAGCTCTGTCGGATCTCCGCATCAGACGACTTAGCTAAAGCAGAGCCCGGTGCTGCCGATCGCAGTCCTCGGTCGCTGATTTGGCGAACGAGCTGCTTGTGCTGTTTGATGTCTGTTGCCAACTCCTGAGGAATAACAATGAAATAAAATCCCATCAGGATCAAGAGCTTGTTTTTGAAATCTTGCTGTAGGAAAATGAATGAAGATTACAAATATTTCGTTGGCTGAAGAAACACAAATGCTTCTAGGTTGGCTTTGTGGTGCAGTCAACTCCTATTTTATACATCCTTTGGATTTTCAAATGTGTAAGATGGATTTTTATGGCCTAAGACAAATATCATCCTTTTGCAAAAGTGCAACTACAGACAAGCACATGTACGTGCCGATTTGCGTCTGGGGTCACCCCCACAATATTGTAAATACTGACAAAATGGATAAAGGTGAATTGAGGGTTAATTTTGCATTTGAAAGTACAGTAAAAAAAAGTCAGACTGCTACTCATTGTCAAGGTGAAAAGTGGTTGCCTTAGACAGGTGGACTTCTTGGACAGTGCCATTATAATAATAATAAAAACTGCAAGGGAGGAAGTGGGAAGTGTTCATTTGTACAGATGATTGTCTTGGACAGGTGGCCGTTAGAGGGACAGGTGGCCGTTAGAGCAAGTTTGACCGTACTTACCTTGTGGATGTCTTGTTGAGAACCAGTCATACTGATAGTAGACTGACCAGCAGCTTTGGTCAACTCTTTTGTGTCAGTCATCCACTGTTGCAGCCGCTGTACGCTCGAGTCGTGTTCCGCCATCTCTCGTTGACGTTTCTCAGCTTCTTTGATGGCAACCCGCAGCTGTGCCTGCTTCTCTATCGTCACGAGTTTGAACTGGCCCAGCTCCGTCTGTGGGAAAGGAAGAGTGTTACTCAGTCTTTAAAAAAAATTTCTTTCAATGTGGGTGGTTTTAAACCTCCGTCCATACAATTTAGATAATTAAGGAGGCAAGCTTTTGACCCTGCCTAGTGTTCGGGCAAGCCACACCAAGAGGGATACATGATCCCAGTGGAAAGACCGAGATACTGGATAAAAATTTCTCCTCACTTCGGAATCGAACTCGAGTCTCCTGCGTGCAACAGCGAAGTGTTAAACCACTACACCATCGACATTGGTTTGCTCAGTCTATGCTTGTGGTAAACAAAAATTCTGGAGTCCTTTCTGGGTACCTGATTATGACCTACTATTTCAACACAACTGAAGTCATTTCTGTAAACAGACCCAAACTCCTCCATAGCAAAATCAGCCAGCCAGACAAGCCATAGAATTTCCCTCAACAATCCTTTACAGCTGGATTTTACAGGCTTCTCATTATTATTATGATAGAAGAAAAGCAGACATTACAATATTGCACCAAACATAAAGGAAAAAAATTCCTTTTCATTTTAAAGATGTACAGGAACCCCCCCCCTCAGAGTTTTTCTTTTCAAACGTACGTGTTTTTACACCTGCATTGACACAGTTTAGATAATTAGGAAGCAAGATTCCACCCTGCCTGCCATAGCCCTTCTTCCCGATCATCTGTCAAGTGAAAGTCAAACACAGCAGAAAATGTTTACCTGTAGGTGAACCAGTTGGTTACGCAGTCTTTCTGCAGAAGCAGGGGCCTCGTTCTCACACAGGGTGTCACACTGAAGGGCAAGGTCAGACAGCTGTCGCAAATGGCCATTGATTTCTTCCTGGATTTCCTGAAATAAAAGCCGATGAAAATTAAAATTTCATAATTTTTCATAGTCTCCAGCCAGACTCTAATCCCAAAGAAAAGGCATGGAGCAGTGTAGCATAGACCAGCAATAATGACTACTGTGTATTTGAATAAACTGCTTCAAGCAGTTGCACGCCATTATATTATGTTTAGACTGCAATAATCATATGATACTGAACAGAAACACCTTTGATATACTTTTTTTTCAGCTAAATGCAAAAGTAAAACATTAATCGTGAGATAGTAGATTCGGGGTTTTGAGGCTCAGCTCAGTCCGACGTTGCATCTTTGGGAAAGGTGCTTTGGACAAATTTTCTCGTTTGGCTCAGACCTATTGGAGATGGACATTGAATTCTGAGGTCCTGCCTCTTAAATAAACTTACAGTGATGCAAAAAGTGCTAAACCTATAAAATTTTGTACATTAAAATTTTTTTTTATCTCCGGCAAACCCCTCCCAGTGGCTTTTGGTCGGAACTGCTGTGCTGGTGAGCCGCTGTTAGCGGCTTGGGCACATTCATTTATGATGACTTCGACGCCAAATTACTTACCGGGAGTTCATTCATTAGATGAACAATTAACTAAATAGGTTCAGCTGTTTTGATTTAATGACCCGTTTAGTGACGTTTTTGTCATATTTAGATTGAGTACTAAAAAGGGCCCCCGGCATAGTGAGTTTACCCTTCCTCGGAGATAAAAAGTTAAGGAACAGATCAGCCTGAACTTCTTACCCTGTTTTCATCGAGCTGAGCCTGCAGAGCCCGAGGGTTGTCAGAAGGCAGCGGTGCCGCCTGCCTGGCCTTTGTCTCATCCAGCCACTCCTCTAGTTTCTCCACACGTTTCTTGTAGGCCGCCAGGGAGATGTTGTGTTTCTCCTGGTCTTTCTTGGCCTCCTGACAACAAAGGGAAAGGGAAAGAACAATTAATACAAAGGAAAATGCTTTAACTTTAACTTTTACAAGTCATAGCAAGTTTAGTTTAACTTTATATCTCTGGCAAAAACGCTCCCAGCGGCTCGCTGTCGGAACCGCTGTGCCGGTGAGTTGCTGCCAGCGTCTCGCGCACATTCCTTTTTGACGACTTCCACATCTAATTACTTTTCGGCAATCGCCGAAACAGGTCTCTTTTATCAGGATTTAATTTATTATATGAAGAAATATCAAAACCGACTCACTTGCTTTGATTTAAAGACCAGTTGAGTGACGCTTTTCTCAATTTTAAATTTAGTACCAAAAAAGGACCCAGGCATAGTGGTTTTACTCCCCTCGCAGATAAAGAGTTAAAATATATGCAAACATTGTCACTTTCAGAATGAAAACATAAGTCTCAAGCTACAAGAATATATTTTATGCACCAAATTTAAAGAAAAGAATAAAGATTTTGTATAATATGAGGATTCAGTTGTGGTACAGGCAAGCAGATATTTCTGATGAAAGAGGGAAAACAAGAAAAAACAGTGAAGCAGCATCTAGCAAGTAGATATGCCATTAAGGGAAGGGAGAGGGGTTGTTGAGCTTTACTTTCTCTCGAGACAAAGCCATTAACCATGTATTTGTGTCACTAAAATAGAGTTGAACCTGCTCTAAAGGCCACCTGTATAAGACAATTACTTGCACAGACACTCACTTCTCATTACCCTTTGCTTTTTTTTTTCACATTACAATTACATGGTGTAAGATGTCCACCTGACTAAGCCAGTTACTAAGACACCCACTTTCCTATTCGACAATGGGTGGAAGTCTTAGACATTTTCGACTGCCCCTGATGCTATTACTTCCACACACAGACACATGCACACGGACATTATATGTGGCACGACGTGGTGGAATCATGCGCTCGTCAGTTTTTGAGCATATGGGGTTATTTGTATCGTTTTAAAGCCTGTTCATTTGTCATGCTTTTGGTGAAAAAAAATCCACCTATGTTGAATTGAAGTCGAGATACTTGCGATTGAAGGAGGAGGGGTCTCCTGGTTTCAGAGGTAACATTAGCGAGAAAATGGCCGCCGAAGTTTGGAAACTTCCATAGCTTGAGAGGCCTTCAAAACAAAAAATTTAGATTTTTCGGGCCTTTTACAATAGTTTTTCAGTAAAAATCCACACAGAAATGTGTTTTTAAAGGACGTAAATGGTGTTTAGTCAAAAAAAGAAAATTAGAAAAAATTTCCAGAAAAATGCCCATTTATTTGAGTTCATTATTTTGAAGAGCGCCTGATTTCCCCGCAATGCCTCACATATATCGTATAAACACACACACACATCCCATAAGCCTCTCCCCCGCCCCCATCTGTATCCGTCATGCCCTACCTGTAACTGTCTGCCCTTGTCGTCAGCCATAGTCTTGAGGTTGTTGTATCGGTCCTCCAACATGGTCAGCGTAGCTTGCATGGCCTTGTAGCTCTCTGACTCCGGGGCTTCCATCAGCTGCTCCCCGCTCTCTCGTACTCTCGCGATATCATCACCGATACCTTCCATCTCAGCCACAGTGTCCTAAAATTAAGCAAAAGTACAATCAAGTACAGGTAGATCTTTTTGTTATACATTCTCGAGACTGGAAAATAATATTCGTTATTACTCTTGATCAGTCTCCTTCTCTCACAAGTATGTGTACACATAGTGCCACTGTTTCTATTACTCTCACACACAGACACATACACACAGATATTATACATTATATAAACACACATACACACAGATTTATATTCATATATGTGCGTGTGTATGTAGGGCTACGTATATAGGTATAAACATATTTATATTGTATATATATATATATAGCTGATGTATAGACAGTCAAACCTGCACTAACGGCCACCGGTACAAGACAATCACAAGTACAAACAACTCTCACATCGCATTAAATTTTTAAAAATTAAAATGACATTGTCCAAGATGTCCACCTGTCTAAGACAATCACTCTTCTCCTCCACAATGAGTGGCGATCTTGGCCAATTTTGATAGCACACTTAAACACTTAATAATAATCTTTAAATATAAATACACATAGATCTCATATTGTTCCCTTCTCATCACCCCCCTCCCCCTTTCTGCCCTCCTGCCCCAACAACGCCCATGCCCCCCTCCCCACCCACATACCCCTCTCTACCCACCGATAC